GGGAGAGGGACAGAAAGAGAGAGAGAAAAAACACAATCAGAAGCCGGCTCCAGGCTATGAGCTGTGAGCACAGAGCCTGACGCGGGGCTCTAACTCATGAGCAGTGAGATCATGACCTGAGCTGAAGTCAGACACTTAACTGACTGAGCCACTCAGGCACCCCTTCAGTAAGCTTTTTTGAATGACAGGAATTACATATTCAGTTGTGAACACAAAATTACATGCTGGACAAAGTAAAAAGTAACACGATGGGCAGGAGATACATGATATAATGGTTGTATTCAAAATTGAATGAGGAAAAAAAATTTTTTTTAAAGGCACCAACTCGTTCTGTGGAGAGAAATCGCCATAAAGGAGGACAGGCCTGAGATGGGCCTTGAAGGAGTGATGAGAAGGCCGAAGGGTACTGGTCTGGACAAGGGGATAGGATGTGGACCAGGGCTGTGAGTGTGGGGGTGGAATTATGGGATAGGTTGAAGGGGGTACTGAAGAGATATAGATCTTGGTAGCTGGTAGGATGCAGAGGGGAAGGGAGAAGATGACCACTGAGTGGAATGTGGGGTCATTTGTCAGCCAGCTTGGAGAGAAAGCATAAGTTTATTGTCGTCATGCTGTGGACACCAAAGCAGACACTCAAGTAGAATGACTAGGACGTGGCTGATGTGTAGAGGGATGTGGACGTAGATTGAGTCTGGGACAGACCTAGGAATTTGGGAGTTATTAGCAAATAAGTGGCAATTTATTCCATAGGAATGATTCAGACTTTTCAGAAAGAGCATTAGAAATGAGATAGAAGAAAAATATGGACAGAAACCTGGGGATCACCAAAATATTAGAGTGGGTGGAGGAAGACAAGCAATCAGGGGACAGTGAGGACAACCAGGGGACAAATGAGGCCAGGGAAGCCAAGGGAAGGATGAGCAGCAAGAAAGGAGAAGTGGGAAAGTGCTATCTTTCTGCATCTGTCTGATACAGATGTTGTCTTCCTAGATATGGGAACAAGCAAGTTTCCGGTCCTCTCTAGCCTGTCTCAGCGTTTTATGTCATTAAACGATACAACAGAGAGTGAAGATACCACAGAGGTGTGTCTATATTTGAATTCAGACCTGCCTGGACTGGCCACAAGGCCCACCAGGAGCCTGGTGCAGGAAGAAATCATCACAAAAGTAGTGCTGAGGCATAAAAGGGGTCCGAGGGGGTATTTGAAATGTAGATATTCTGATCCTATGTTCTCAGGAATGTGTCACAGCTTGGGGAGTGACAGCTATATAAAAATAAGACAAAGCTATTTCCCATTTGCTTCATCTTAAGCAATGGGTAGGGTGCGTTCTACCCAGCATGGTGCAGGCTAGTATAGTCCCTCATTGAGTGCACAGCACCACAGCCATTTCACGGACCAGGGACAGGGTGCCCTGTCTGTGTCACCTCCAGTGGGGGAAGCCAGGATTTGACTTCACAACAAGCACCAAAAAGAAAAAGACAGGCATATTTATTACATAAAAACTTTTCTCGACTCTCTACTATTAACAATACCAAAGATAACTGACGAGCAGGTTTTTTCAAGCTGCAACAGAGAAGGATTAATATACTAAATATTACAAACACTGCATATGAAAAAGACCAATACTCCAATGAAGTCACAAAAGTAGAAATATCAGTGAAAGTATAAAAGATGTTCAATTTTCACAGTCATCAAAGAAATGGAAACTGAAACCAGTTGCCATTTCCAGCATCAATGAGAATAAAGGGGGAAAGGCACATGCTATAGAGGGTAGCTTAATTTTCCGGGAGCACTTCGGTAACATTAAAATTCAACAAGGTTTAAAATTTTAAATTATCCTTTAATTGTACATGTCTACTGCCAGGAATTCATCCAAGGGAAATCATTGGCACATGTGCAGAGAAAAAGGGGTAAAGGTACAAGATGCAGTCCTGGTTATAATGAACAATCAAACCACGAATGGAACTACATTTTAGCAAATCACACCAGACGACCAGGCAATCCACAGGAAGACATGATCCATATTTATGGATGTGGGAAGGTAACAACAAAAACAGCTAACAGTTATGAACATTTACTGCCAAGGCACCTCACAACTGCCTCATGAATTGTGTCCACACTTCGCACATGAGAAAATGGAGGCTCAGAGAGGGCAAGCAATTTGTTCAAAGTCACCAGCCGGCGAGTGTCAGAGCAGGATCGGGAGCTCGATCTGTCCAATGCTGAAGTTCGTGCTCTTAATCCCACAGCCCATTGCCCCTCTGCTTCAAATTAAGTGAAAACAAGGTTATAAAACAGAAGTCTGTCATGATCTCATGCTTACAAACACCTGAGCGCTCGATGCAATGCCCACTAATGACGGCCCAGTCAGATGAGGCCATGAAACTAGTCCCCAGTTACAATGGAATGAATGAGGCAACGCCAAGTTTAATGTTCTTGTCAGTTATTTATTATTTGTCATTCTAAAGACTAGCACATTTACAGCATACATGGCTTCGAATGAACCCAGAATATATAAAACAGTAACTATATGTTCATATATATTACTACTGCCCACCCAAAACAAATAAATAAAAGTACTTTAATGCACGAAGCTTGGCAAATAACAATTGTGTAGGGACAAAACAGTATTATACAATATTTGTACATTTTTGAAGGAAACCAAAGGCAACTGTGCTGCAGGTACTTAGAATCCACGCCACATCCCAGGGTTTCAGCATGTCTCAACGTTTCTCTTTAAACGAGAGGCCTTCTAAGGTACACTGGACGGAACCTCTGTTTTATGGTAACCTGTACAACGGCTCTCCTTGCGCAGCTGGAAACTCAGCGCTCCTACCGGACTCGACGAGCCCCGGCCACCACGAAGGGCGCCCTCGCGCGGCAAGCGAAAGAAGGGCGTGATGCCGCCCAGAGGCTGCTCTCCCACGGGGGCCCAGGGACGCTCACATAGAACACTGAAACCTGAACATTCTCTACATGGTTAGCCAAGTCTTCGAGTTTTGTGGTGATCCTTAATATGAAGCTGAAGTTCGAAAAATAATTCACATAAAGGTGCCACATGCAAAATTGCTAACGGATGACTCGACATTTGCTCTATTCCCTTTTGACCAATGCAGGTGCTTAATGCTCATCAGACAAAAAAAAAAAAAAAAAAAAAAAAAAAAAAAAAAAATTCTGGAAACAATATGGGTGACATTTAATTTAAAAAGACAAGGGAATTTTTGAAAGGTAGTGATGTTAACATAAGAAAAGATGGAAATATGTAGGTACTAGAAAAGTTACAAATTAAATGATATGGGGGAGAGGCGAGAGGCCAAATCACCCATACTGGAAACCATCTTTGAACAGGGACTGACACAGCAGGATGATGTGATGCCAGCTGATGCCACCTGTGCAGCGGGTTTGGTGGATAGGAGTGTCTCTACCTGCACCCTCCACAGTGAGCCAGCTGTGGGAGAGGCAGCGAGCTGTGACCATTGCTCCTGGTGCGTCCTCCACATCCACTCACACCTGTCCAATGGGCAGGAGGAGCAGAGGCTCTGTCTGCACACTGTATAGGAAGGGTCTGGAAGGTTATGCAGTCCCTCACCTGCGCCCACCCCTGTGTCCCTGCCTGTGGGTGGCACTGCCTGTGCCTCAGCAACCCAAGTCTGTCACATGTTTCCAACTGGCGTTTCTAAAGGAGCCCAAGAATAACATCTATAATTTTAGACCTAGGGATTTCCTAAGGGTTCACAAATCATTAAGATCAGCATCATGGATATGTGCCACATATATTTTACAGCCTTTTAAATAACATGTAAACATAATTATGATAAACAGAATTGATAAACACATAAACTAAGAAAAATCTCTGCTATGTGCAGATAAGACTCATCATCATCATCTTATAATAGATGATCAGACATAATTTTCTATGAAATTCCTAAGTTTATGGCCCATTAATCCCTTTCAAAATCTCACTGTAGGAGATAATTTCAACTTTCTCAATAGTCATCTTACATAACAGAAGGTAAAGAGGACAGTAACAACTACTGCAAACCTAAGAGACACTTTCATCAGACAATCCAACAGGATTGTCTTCTAGAAGACGATAAATTGGGAAACCCACAAAAGGACATTTGTTCTGAAAATACTTAGGCTTCCAGCACCTACACGCATAAATCCCCCACTGTTGTCTAAAAGGCAGCAGACACCTCATGTGCGGGGTCCTGGAGTGGCAGAATTCAACACCCAGGAGAGGAAGGGAGGCGAGCCCTGGGGGCAGGACCAACCACGGAGCTGGGGAGAACAGGCCGGTGGCGTCCTTCTCCAGCACACACCCTGTGCTACGGCGCAGCGGGGGGCGGAGGTGGGCCCCCCACGTGGGCCGCTGTGCAGGTACTACCTTCCAGTGAAGTCTTACCTCGGGCTGATTTAGCAACCTTTACTTCACCTTCTGATTTCACCTGTGATGCTACAGATAAGACGATTTATCGGAACCAACTGCTCTCACTGCTCAAGCTGGAGCTACCTTCTTTCCCCAAAACTTGAGTTAACATTCAACATTTACTGATCTGCCCAGGATCCAATTCTTTAATATATTATTTACTGTTTTACATTCAAAAATTTTTAAAGTAGACTGTAATTCAATGCTCAATTTTGAGTTACTCGGTAGAAAAATACATTAGGTGTGCAGCTGCCTAAGTGGGCATTTAAAAAAGTCTTTTAGCATTTCAGACATATCTAGCTTGATTCATACAAGTAACTATCGATGATATCTGTGTGGTTATGGCTGAGGCTATTTAAATGGGCAGTCATTACTATCCACGCTATTGAGCCAAACATTACCTCCTATTGATTCCAGTGGAAAAAAACATGCTCCATAGACTTTTTAGTGAATTTTGTTTGAAAACACAAAAATAAAAACCAATCCTTCAGGTCTTCTTGAAGAATTCGTATATGACACTAGAGGGTACCCACATTTAGTATGTGACAGCTAATTAGAGGAACCGTGTGTTCATGTTTCAACTTTTCCGTAAGTCCCTTCGGGAGGCCTGTAATGCTTGGGGAAAGCCTTCAGCTGCAGGGAATTAAACGCATATTTGCGACTTCCAACATTCTTCATTGTATTTTCTCTTCGACAACCCTCACTGGGGAAAAAAACAAGCACAAGAAATGACAGCAGTAAAAAAGGAAAAAGGAAAAGACTTAAACTAAAATGAAATGAACTGATTATTTTCATAGCATTACAAAAAATGTTGATTAATTCAAATGGGTGCCGGACTCATTTACAACAATACGCACGCAAGATGGCGGGCTTCTAAACAAGGAAGGCAACTAAGAAGCACAGAGATGGACACATGCTGTATGGGGCTGTGAGCCTGGCATTTCCAGAGGCAGCACTGTATCTAAGTAGAAGCAAACTTGTGGTTTTAAGTTAATGGTTTTCACGTAATGGTTTTCATGTCCAGTAATTTGAGGGTTCTATCATAATTTGCAGTTCAAAGGTTCTGTTATGTCACAAATTAAATGGAAAAAGAAATATTGCTACTCTTACCAAAGCTTTTAAAGAGCTGCGTTTTTCTTATTAGCAACAGCTATGAATCACCTCAAATTGAAAATGCTCATTTTCCTTGCAGAATGTAGCAAAGCCATCTGGCCGAGAAGGCTGCTGTAACATGCCGTCCCCACTGAGGAGGCAGCTGTCCTGGGTACAGAGCAATCAGTGGGCTCATGCAGTGGTGGCACGAGGGGTCTGCACAGCCATCAGGGCTAGACGTGTCATGAAGGAGTCATCCCACTGAGATCTCCCCGTGGCAGCCAGTCACCTTCTCTAGGAGGGCTGTCCTCATTGTGGTCACCTCTCACAGGGGTGCCGCAGAGCCAGTGAGAGCCCACAGGTGCCCTTCCCTAGAGAACCGGCTACCAGCATCATCCCCAGCTGTACTGGATGGAGGGTTGTCATGGCAACCCAGTGGGCAGAGCAAATGCTGAACAGGAGGATGAGACATCAGGCAGGCCTCACATTCGTTCCCAAATGAGAGCATCAGGGGAGTTCTTTGGGAAATGGTCTGCTGTAGACGCCAAATTAACAGGCAAAAGCAATTCTAAATATAAACGGCTTCCTATAAGCACAGTATAACTTTACATTTTTGTATTATTCGAAGACTAGCAATTAAGTCAACTAGTTATCAAATTCAGTACAAAAATCCCCATTTATGAGATGTAAAATTTGGAGTTACCAAGAAATAGTGATTTAAAAAAAATATTTCAAATTTTATGAAGACCATTATGTCATGCATTTTAAAAAAATATCAGTGGCAACTGCTCAAGCCTTTTAAAGTGAAAATGACAGTCTTATTATCAAGAACATGTAAAATATTTTTGGTAAGACAGTAATTTTATTCAAAAGATAAGCTCAGGTATTTTAGAAAAGTATCCACCTGATTTGTTATTAAGTAATTTAGTAACTCAGCTCTGCTTCCTTGTCACCAGAGCCTCAAGCCCTCAGCGAGACGTGTGTCATAAGAGCTGAAAGCCTAGGCCAGACGAGCAGGGAGGCCCTAGAATCAATAATGATCATGTTTGTCTAACATCCAGTAATCGGATAAAAATATAATTCCATTTAAAGCAGAAGCTGTAAGTTCCTATGCACAGTTAGTCTTAATCTTTGGAAGCTCTCACATTATCAAACTATTTCAGATATGGCTTCTCTATTTATATACAAATGCACACACTTTTCAAACACCACCTATCACTATTAAATGCCGAACTGCTTTGAGGAGCGAAGAAGAATAATTTGTCCACTCGGACATTATCTTTTATTTACATATATTAAGGAAGCTAATTACCGGGTTAACTGGCTGAATTCGTTACACACGAAATTGTAATCAAGATTACACTTTCAATGCAATTTAATTTCTAAAGCACATCGTATTTACTTTTCTCAAATGTTTTGAATTTACCAAATCTGCCTGGGTGAGGCTGATGGCTCGTAGACACTGTCATCACATGTTTGCATGAGCTCTGGCATTAATGCTGGAGGCTGCTATGTGCAGAGAGGAGAGGGCGTGCCGTGCTAACTGGCACTCCCCACTGAGAAGGCTCCCCACCGCCAGCCTCCCGTCCTAAGGTAGAACACTTCTACAGATCACATCGGCTAAATAGTTTTTAGTTGTCAACAGCACACTTTGAGAAGGTCTTGGGTAGAGTTTAGAAAGAGGGATTTAATTATTTCAAAGCTCCCCGACTGTTTTTATTCTATAGGTAAATTATTTCAAGGACATCCATTTTTTGAATGAGAAATTAGAATGGAAACCCAAATGACAACTGGTTCTAGGGAGTCCTCTGGTTTTCCCTTTCTGGTGTGGATCTTCCACTTTAGAACCCATCTGAACGCACTAGGGTCTTAGTGATCCTGAATATCTAGTGCTGGCAGCCACTGACTGTGTCCCGTCCAGAGCCAGTATCACCTCAGCGGCAGCCTGAAAACCATCATCATCAAGTACCAGACTCCCCTTTCTTGAAGCATCTTCCCATGTTTGTTTCATCCAGCCTATTTCTCACTAAAGCAGAAAAGACGTATGTATTTAGTCTGACTTCGTAAGTAAAAAGCCTTAGTGATACTAAAACTCAGCACACAAAGGGTGAGCATAGAGTCTCTTTCCTCAGATGTTCTGAAGAAAAACAACAACAACAATTCACAGCCTAGGCTGACCTCCTGGTGTCCTTTCTTGTGCTACCCTCACAAGCATACAGGTAGAATGTACTGCCTTTTGACTCAGCCCCTGAAGAGACAAAGAACCCTGTCCAACTTATTTCTCTGTCAACTTAGCAGCCAATTCTACATGAGGCAGGAAGGCCTGGCTGGCGCCATGGCAGCGAGCAGCAGGCCGGGCTGTCCACAAGGCTCCCTCAGAGGCCACGGCCTCCCCTTGCTGGGTGGGGGTTCCTGGAAGGGGGCTCTGGGGATTGGCACAGGAACACCCATGGGCCTGGGAAGCGGAGAGGACACTCTCTGTAATCAGAAGGGCCTCCCTCACCTGGGTGCAATCTCTGCCAGGCCTGGAGGTGGGCACAAGCACGTGTCACCACCGTGGGGTATCAGGAGCACTTGAGCCAGAGCAGGACTGGGAAGCCTGGAATGGGAGCTGAAAGGGCCTGCAGACTCTGCTTTCTCCCATTCATATAGTGTAAATAAAATGGCCTCGGAGCACTGATGCACATGCCTCAATTTGAAGGAGGCAGGAGGTGAACACACCTCTCAAAGAATCACAGGTTAGACAGTGACCAGTGTTGTGTTGGCATACGGAGAGACTCCCTAGTGAAGGATGTCAGGAGCTATGCCATGGAATGGTCACCTCAGTTGTTCTGGAAAAGACAGAGTGGCCACACTGTACCTGTGAAAAGACTGGCTCCACCTACAGGCAGGAGCCCTGCCCTGAGGCTCCAGCAGTGCTCAGGGGGTCTGGGGAAGAAGGGCCTCCCAGAAGTGCGAGAAGGACAGTCTTCTATCTTAGAATTTAAAGTCTGAATCTATCATTTGTCATGCTAACTGCTTCTACAATTAGTAGACTCAGAACTGATGGCAAACCAGAGGAGTCCTAGGGTAAGTTCTGGACATCTTGGGGAGGGTCTAGAGAGGCCAGATTTTGTGGTAAACTGGGTTTGTGGGCACAAATGAGTAAAAAGTTTTGGGAAAGACAGCTTCTCTCAATTCACTCCAGTGTTTCTAGACTGGTAAAAAGAAATCCACTTTCATAAAATACAGTGTATGGGGAACCGGCTGGTGGTCAAAAACAGAAGTATGACATAATTTGAACTAGAAAACAGAGAAGCCACTGAGTATTTCTTATAGAAAATCTGTGGAATTCCCCTTAATTTAATCTATTACCTTTACAGATGTTCAACTACCCTTCCGGCGAATGTAAAAGTTAGGCTTACCAACCATCCCATTTTCTGGACATTGCCGTGTTACACCAAGAGAGCGCTAGTAGCAGAAACCAAAGCAACTCCTTCTTTCTCACAGTTCCATCTGTCACAAATGCCCAAAGGTTAGGCCTCATTTTATGGGTCATTTTTCCTTTGATTTTTGCTTATTATTATGAATCACATTTGCTTTCTAAGAAAAAGATGTCTGGACTTTAATCTGTAACTAAAGATGCAATGTTTTAAATGTAAAAATCCTGCTTCAAGAAAAATAAATGTCTATCACTTGAACAGCCTTTTGTTTCTGTATGCATTCATTCCTGGAGTCAGTTTAGTGATCCTTAGAGATTTAAAAGAGTAAATGTAAAGTCACATGCAGCATTACTTGGATGTGCCCAATTTGGTACAATGTGCTACTACAGTCACAGCTTTGTGTCGTCTTGGACTGGAAATCGTGAACACAAGCAAGGAATGGAACGATTCTGCAAAGTGTTTGCTACTCTGAGTTCAGGGACTACGCTTTGAAATGAAAGCAGAAAGTACATGTCCTATTAAATAGGTTTATCTTGAAGAGCCAGTTATAAAGCATCTATCCTTTTCGTTTCTCTTTAAAAGGAAAGGAAAGTTTAGCAGTACATTCAAGAATAGTATCAAATATACAAATTCTTTCCAGACAGAATTCGCTTCTCTCAGAAACACGGCACATGAGATATACAGGTAATAAATAGCTTTACATCAGAAGGTGAGAGATTTGGTACAAGTAATTCCAGGCCAGCTAAACAATGCAGTGACAGGGCCCTGTAAGAATGTGTTACAAGCACTGAAAACTCTACGGAAGTTAAATGAACAAGTCTTCTTGGTGAAATAATTTGGCAGGTATTTACAGTTCAGAACAACAAAACATCAAACTGTAAGGCATGAGATATTTCTTGGCAGACCACGCTTTGACACATTCCTTCTGTCCAGTTAGGTACACAGGTGGCTGGACATATTCTGGCACTTTTGTTTTTCTTGTGACTTATTACTGATTTTTCGTAATGATACTCATTTGCAACGTAATTTGGTCACCAGGTATGCTATGCTCAGGAAGAGCCACGCAATCAGTAAATTGGGGCTCAAGGCTAACAAAGGGATGGAACAGAGGAGGCTGGGGTCTAGTCTTAAGTCTCGGATGGGCACCAGGCCGCTCAAGTTCTTCTGGGTGACTACCTCCCGTGTTCCAATGCTGTGAAAAGGAAAAAGTTTGGGAGAAAGGAAAAGAAAAAGGCAAAGGAAATAAAAAAAAGAAAAAAAAGAGAGATACATGCAATGGATTTTATCAAAAGTATGGAAAAAAGAGGAGAACCAAACGGTAAGATTAAAAAAAAATGGGATGAAGCCACAACAGAAAGGAAAGATGATATGCAGAAAAGGGTGTGGAAGGAATACCAAAACAAAACCAGCACAGTCACAAGGAGAAAGGAGAGAAAGAGAAGTGAAAATAAGAAAAAAATACTGTCGTCTACCAAAAACAAACACATGTAGGTTGACTAAATGGTTTTCCATGTTCGCCCTCTCTCGGCCGGCCAAGCACGACTCCATGCTGCCCTGCCATGCTCTCACATGCTGCCAAGACATGGGTTCCAAAACGCAAGCTGAACATGAAGAACCATTGGGGGGAGGGGGGTTGACCTTCTCACAGATGCCTGAGCAGGGGGCGGTGCCACTGACTGCCAGAGCTGCCTCTTGATGGACCATCCAAACAATGACCATTTACCTCAAATATCAGTCAAAGGCAGAGCCCTCCTCAGACTCATCCTGGCTGTCAGGCTAAGCAGTGGCAGGGCATGAGCTGCTGGTGTCCCCGACTGTCCGAGTTACTGCTCTATGGGGTGATCCCCGAGAATGGAATCCACCCGAGCTCACATTGGAAGTTTTGGGTTTTCTCTCCCTTTAGGTTGTCACAGAAAAAATACACTGAGGTGCAATGGTTCTGGAACCACATCCTCTATGACTGTCCACCAAAGTGGCAACAGCGACACAGAAGCAGAGACGCTGGGACACAGCAGGTGGCCTGAGAGGATCCACCCAGAGATGAAGAGCATGGGGTCTTTCCTCAAACAGAGACCTCCCGGGCTTTCCCAGAAGAACCTGGAAGCCCTAGAACGGCCCTGCTGGGATGTGCCATTCTGACTGGAGCTTCTTTCCAATGTGAGCACTGACTGACTGTCACATTCGCAGCCAGGGCAGTCTCGGGGGTGGGGGAGTGTCACTATGGCTACTTAAGAAGGCCTGCTCTGGGAGTTTCAGCCTCCGGATTGGGGACAGAGGGGCACCATGGGCAGTGAGCTGGCAGTGGCTCACAAGAGCCGAGTGTACAAATCTCTTCCCAGCTCCATGTTCCATGGTATCACACTGGTAGCTCGAAATCAGCCCCAGCGGGAGGATTTATGCCACAGAAATTGGCAAACACTATTTTTTTTTGGTGGGGGGGGAGGGAGCTGGCTGTTAAACATTTGCTAGCACAGCACTGGCCACTGCTCACCCTGGACCTCTGGGAGAAATACAGCCCGAGTGTCAGCTCTGCCCCTTGACTCCACCCCCTCTCCCCACCCTGCACCCTTGCCTGCATGCTCTACTCTTCCATCTGGTAAGATGCAAGCGAGAAAGCAAGAGAACCAAAATGCATTCCTCCACTCAAGACATGGCCAGTATTTACTGCTGCCTCCTTCCAGCCCCAGGTTGAGCCACAGGTTCTGGCCACACTGCAGCCAGAACTACTGGCTAGTGACCTGGCCACCTCAGGCTTGCTGTCTACAAATAGACTCATGCCTTCCCCACAGGGGATAATCCAAAAAATCACCTAAAAACAACCACATGCGGTGACAGCCTGAGCTGCAGTGTGGTCAGGCAGACAGGTGGCAGTGAGCATGGCGTCCAGGCTGTTGGGGCTACTGGGTCCTGAGGGTCCCAGGGTGCAGGCAGCCGGGACCAACCTTGGTTCTTATGTAATAGTATCTTACGTGATTATAAGGTAATACATCATTACTACAGAGATTTTAGAATATTCAGAAAAACATAAATAGGAATCTTTAAAAGACTTCCATAATTGGAGCTGAGTAGGGGCTTTAGAGAGGCAGAGGGAGGCCCAGGGAGGAAGGTCCTTCCCTACTCGGGACGCAGGGTCCCCACCTGGCATACAGGAAAGCAACACCGACTTCAGAGTCAGAAGCGCCCGGACGAGTGACAGGTATGACAACACCCAGAGGGTGGACGAGCAGGCATTCGGGACAGCGGGTGGGAGTGTGGCAATTTGTATTAAAAGCCCCACAAAGGTGTATACTTTCTAACATTAGGGATCAATGCGGCAAATGTGAACAGGTGCGTACATAAGGCTATTCGCCACACCCTTAAGGTGCTGAAAACCACATATAGCTTAAATATTCCATGACAGCAAACTGGATAATTATGATGTAATGAAAATGGCAAGGTCTCTATTTGTTAACCTGAGAAAGTGCTCACAAGCAGTTAAATGAAAAAAGTAGGCTAAAACAACAGGCATAACTGCAAATATAATTGCATTTGTTGGCGCACACATGTGTTTTGTTCACTATTTAGGGACTTGATTAACCAACCTGTGCATTAACCACACTCACACCTGCATGTATGTGTATGTATGTGACTATGTCTGAAAGAGTCAGCATCAGATGTTAGCACCGTTTCTTGTTAATAGTAGGAATATGGAGAATTTGGGGGGGGCAGTGTGAGAACAACTGGTGTAGGGGCTTATCCGTAGTTTTAAATTTTGCTACAAGGGGTACCCATTTCTATGTGATAAAAGTTATAAAATTTTGCTGTGTGCACTGAAAACCACAACAGGTGATCTGTGCACATGTGGGTACTGCCCACGCAGCCCCATGGTGGGCCACAGGTCAGCAGATGTGGCAGCCCCTGTGTCTTTCAAAGAGCCCCGTTCTCCCTGGTCTCCTGAGACCTTTGTGCTCAGATACGGTCAGAATGAATTATTTTCATCAAATCTGTTCCAGAGGCCGAGACTGGATAGATGTCTACACACCAACTGTACACCTGACTCAGGGCCTGTCTACTAAGTGGACCTGATCCTCATCTTTGCTCTGACAACCACAAGTATCTCCCTTCTATTTTTCATGTTTCTTCTCTGGTGGAGGTCTGCATCTCACCAGAGAGGTCCCTCCCATCACCTGGCAGTGAAGAGGGTGCAGACGTGGCTGGAATCCCAGGCCCCGCCACCCCCATTGCATCAAGGATGCTGAGCCTGAAGGGCAGGCCGTGAGGACAGTCCTTAGCCAAGGGTGCCCAAGCAGGGGTCTCAAGAGTCTCCACTGCTTCCCTGAGGCTCAGCGCAGGGAGGGTGATGAACTTTCTACACACGTGTGAATAGAAGCCCCAAGGAAACAAAGAGGTCTGTAGGACTGGGGGAAGACAAAACAGGGAAAACACAATTCCATTTCTACAAAATGCGATTATCAAGAGGCAGGAGCTCAGGCATCACTTTTGTGCATTATTGTGAGAAGGTCAAACAGCAGAAACATACAGAAAGGATAAGAGAATTGAATGCTTTAAAGAATTTGGTGAGAGGACAAACGATACAGAACATTCAGTAGGAGTGACCGTTGGGAACGAGACTTGGACAGCATTGGTGGCTACATTGAAGGAGACGGGAAAACCAGGTTTCTTATCCTTTCTTTTGGTATGTGAGGTAAGGTGCTCCCCAGCAGTGCTTGAAACAAGGCATCGATCAACAGTAGACAGTTTTTAGTCCCGGGTTTCATTCTGCAAACACGCCTGCTGCCTCAGAATCAGAACATCATTAGGGTGAGGTCGCCACGGCACACGGACAAGTGGGGGCTGCTGCCGTTACCATAAAACACTCATTTGACACTTTGCTAAGAAAAGCAAACTGTGTCGATGGCTAGAGAAGAAGCAGAGCAAACCGGTGCAACCTGCAGACGCATTTTCTTCACTCAAGTTTGAAAAGGGATAGATATGTGCACGGTGGAAACAGCAGATGCCTGCTGAGGAAGCTCTGGCCCTAATTTCCAGCCGCAGCAAGGCGGGGGCGAGGCAGGGGGAGCCGTGTGCCAAAGGACTTCCACACAGCTGCACGTGAGTCCCCTCGGCAACCTCCTGACACCTAAGCTTGCCCCGAGGTCATCTGACTTCAGAGCAGTCCTGCTCACAGAGACTGCTAGCTCTCTCGTCCCCCGGACTTAGGAGAGAACACGGTCTCAATTTGAAAGTGCCAACAGTTTGACTTGGCAGACATCAGTGAATTTTCCAAAGTCAAACTAGAGCATGCCAGGTGGAGTCAAGGGGACTTGGGCAGGGGGAGCCCTGGCAGGGCCGGCTCATCTGCAGTTTACACGGAGCCCAGGGCAGGCGGGGCGGGCGGCCTGGGCAGCGGGACTCACCTGCGCATGCACTCCAGGGCCTGGGTGAACACCTGCGGGGCCATGCCGTGCTCGTGCTGCAGGATCAGGCACTGCTCCAGCGTCACCGACATGGCCGTGCGGTCCTTGGCGCTCTTGCAGCTGGTGAACCGGACCCCGTTAAGGCGGCGGCAGATCTGCCAAGAGGAACACAAGCTGTGCTCAGAGGGAGACTCTACAGAATGTAAACATGCTTCGCGCGGGACACAGGCTTCGGATGGCCAACGGCAGCGTGTGGCAATGCCAACTCCCAGGGTCAGCGTTCCCTCTGCTTCTGCTCCCTGACTCTATGTCCTGCCAGAGCTAGCAGCAGAAATGAAGTCACTGCCCATGGGACCTGCTCTCATCCCTGGCAGTCCCTCGTGTGACTCCCTAACCCCCAGGCCACTCCTTCAAGGCCCAGACTCCCTTATTTTCTGGGGCATCACTGTCTGTTCACTGACCTTACCAGCTGTCCTCTTCCAAACTGTGCCCAGGCCATTTCGTCACATTCAGGACTTTGCTGCAGGCCCTTAGCAGAGCAGGGCAGCAAAGACCAGCCTAGGAGGTCAGGGCAGCTCACAGGATGCCCAGCCCCTGGCCAAGTCTCCAGGGCTTTCTGGAAGGCATAGCATAGACCCATTGTCTCTACTCTCTTCATGTTCCCCGCATAGACGGGAAGAGCTCAGAAGAGCTTCCCCTTTGCCACCTCCTGACCAGCAGGCCCCACAGGCCATCCTCTGCCTCACTCAGGGCCAAGCATGGGGTTAGGTGCCAGTGCGCTTCTCCCTTCACAAGTCGGCGGCTCACGGTGGGGCAGCCTCCTAGCTGAAAAAAGGCTGCCCCAGGGCACCTTCTTTTTCCACAAGAAGGGCTTTTGGGGGCATTTTCTTTGAACCACTAGATACAATTCTAGGTACACATTCCCCAAATGCTGAAAGCCCTAAAATTAAAAAAAATTTAAGTTTACAGCAACTTCATTTGGCAGCATGACCATATCTGAGCCAATGTGAGACTATTTATAATCTTCATTTAACCCATTTTGTATAAATATTCACACTTTACAATAAAGCAATATTAACGAGTTTAGTTCCAGAGCACTGCCCCAGACTCTCTCGGTTACGTTCAATCATATATATGTACCACTTTAACCAAAGGGGATGTGCCACTGTATTACACATATGTGCACAACTGTATACCATATCACCTTTCTAAAATACAGAAACCAGGGGCGCCTGGGTGGCGCAGTCGGTTAAGCGTCCGACTTCAGCCAGGTCACGATCTCACGGTCCAGGAGTTCGAGCCCCGCGTCAGGCTCTGGGCTGATGGCTCAGAGCCTGGAGCCTGTTTCCGATTCTGTGTCTCCCTCTCTCTCTGCCCCTCCCCCGTTCATGCTCTGTCTCTCTCTGTCCCAAAAATAAATAAACGTTGAAAAAAAAAAATTTAAAATACAGAAACTGAATTACAAAACATCTACTCACAAGAGCTTCAGGTAAGGGGCTGTGGACCTGTACCAGGTACTGCACCTCTACGACAATACTGGCAGTTAGTGAAAAATCAACGCTAGATGACAGTGGGCTCCAAAAACCTGTCACACTCCAGAGAAATATCAGAGCCACTGCAGACTGCCCTGGAGACAGCACCACACCTGCTTCTCAAAGCCAAGAACATGTAGCCACTGTCAGGAATGCCTCTAGGTAGAGAACACAGTATGGTTCTAAGCACTGTGTCTAGAGAAAGACAAAAGAGAAGATGCCGAAACGAGTTCAGCCAAGGCCATCTGGAGGAAAACAGCCTTCTTTTGAGAATAGACAAAAAATTTTTAAGGGGGAAAAAAAAGACCCTAAGCATCCCCTAAGCTTGCTGAAGAGTGATATAATCCCAATGCATAAAACCGTAACTGACGAGGTGAGGGTGAATGTACACCTGCTCACTAAATTCTACAGACTGCAGAGTTCATGAACCAGAAATGTGTAGTAAGCACTTACATTCATAAATGGTGCATCCATAACTAAAATGAAACTCCAGAAGGCAGGCAGGGGTGACTAAAGGTGCATTCTTGCCCAACAGGGCGATCTGTAGCACCAGGTTCCAGTCTCTAGGGGGCCATCAGCCAGTTTGAGAGCTCTGGCTGGTCTCCCCATCCACAAAATGAGGGCCTAGACCTGACCAATGATATCCTAACTGTTTAGCCAGGGACTTCTTATTATACACAGAACTGAAAATAAATAAGACCTAGAAAAGGAGGGCAGCTCTGGCCAAATTGGCCATAGTGACTTGGCATTGCACAAATATCTGTTCTCCCCAGTTGGGAAATATAAGAAGTGATGTGTCCAAGGGCCACTGAGACTTTTCCACCTCTGAATCTGTACATTGAACCTCTGCTGGGAACAAAAACTATGGGACTGCATGGGCTGCTTTTGGGACCTGGTTACAGAGGATGGTGGATCATTGCCATAGCTAATGATTTTTCTATGGTCTAGAGAGAGGAAAATAGAACCCCAGTTCCCAAACAGGGTATGTACCAGTCTCAGCACCCACTGTCAGATGTAAAGCCATCTGCATGCTTGTTCTAAGGAGAGTGAACCAGGGGGGTGCGTGCCCTGTGCCACTGTGGAGGATTGGGCTGTCACCCCCTGGCCTCTGTGTCATGTGAGAAAAGGCTTGCTCTGTGTCTGAAGTCTTGCAAAGATACCGGTGTAACAGGCTTGTCACAGCCAGCCAAGGGGCAGCCCCCTAAAACATACTAAAAGAAAGTAAGGGGCTCCTCTGCCTTAAAGGAGCCTGCTGCAGAGGCGCCCCGGCACCCAGGAACCCACCCTACACCCTATTTGCTGGGCCCAGCCTGAGCAAGCAAGGGCAGATGAGGCCCCAGAACCAGGAGGATATTTGAAACATATCCTGTCTTCCTGTCACTCAGTGCCTCAAAATGTGTTCTGTTGTGAAAAGATTCCACGGGCAGTCTGGCCCAGAAAGGGGAGCTCCCCAGCCCACAGTTGTCATGAACAGAGTCTTCCCAGCTGGGGCACTTGAAAGGCTCAATGAACAGATTAATATACAGAGGGGAGCGTCCACTCTTCACAGCTGCATTCAACAGAAAGGCATCAGTGGCCACAGCTACTAACAAAGGTACAGGGTGGGGCATGTTCAAAGAGAGGGCTCCATGAAGACAGGTTTGAAAACACAGGGTCTACCAAACAGCCGGCAACCGGCATGACCAGCTGAGACCGTCTGCTGCAGTGGAAGAGACCCTTCCCAATGAGGAGAACAGGAAAGCGCTGGAATGGGCTGCTCTGGAAAGCCACTGGCAGCAGGGGACAGCCCTCCTGCTACTTGGGATCTATGAATTGGGGGGGTAACTGGGTGTGAGTGAGCAGTGCGGTGTCTACTCCTCCTCCAGGAGCAGAGGGGAGTGTGTCCATCCCTCCCCTGTGCTCAGGCCAGGCTGGGAGCTGGAATGCCCTCTGGGGATCACTCGTGCTCCTGAGTGTACGCGTGCAGGTCCCAGTGCCTCTTTAACAGGGGAGAGTGAAATGCTAGCTATGAAACTACACAATTACTTTTATGAGAATATACCAGAAGTCTAAGTGCTTAGGAAAAGAGGAGATCCAAACTGCAATGTACAAAAAATACTGTGTGAAAAGAGACTGCCAAGGTCACTATGGTCTACTTTTGAACCTATTAAAAGATGCAGTCGGCAGTGAGTTTTAGCTGGTATCGATCGCCGAGGCTTCTGAAGGTGACAACTGTCACCAGCTTGGTTATTAAATGTCTCAGGGGAGAGAGTGTGTGTCAAGCTTATCAGAATTCAGGCAGCCCTAAAGTAATGAACTCACAGGAAACTTTCAGTGTCTCTCAGAGTTTTGGACATATTCAGTGACTTTCTTTTGTGTCCATATGGAGAAATTTGCTCTCTCCACTCCTGACTGAGATTTTTATTTATTAATATAATTATTTTTGGCAACAAGGGTGACAATAACATTCTTCCCCTCACTATAACGAGGTTACTACCTCAGCAGCTTGCCAGAGAATGTCGACGTTCTTATTCTTCCTGGCATGTACGTTCTGGCCCAGAAATCGCAGCAGCTCTGGGAGGCAGGTCTGGCTCCGAGATCGAGGTAGGCCTGCAAGACAGGAGGAGTCCATGAGAGCCAGCGCTGCACCCAGAACTGTGGCCCAAGGGAGCCATTGTGGCATGAGCTCCTGGCCAAGCTGACAGTGTAGTGTGACTTAAACAAGAAGGGGGGGTGTGCTTAGGGATTGGTCCTGGCTGCTGGCATGGAGAGCACTTAAATAACTTTCAAGGCCATTTCAGGCCCACCTGCAAAGCGCAAACACTCATCTTCTTTTAGCTTGTCAGTGAGGCTGGAGCACAGACATGGGGTCATCCAGGGTGGGAGGGAGTTAAGATGATCCATCTGGTCTTCAGTGCCCCCACAGGGAGAGGATACTTAGGACAGTGGGTCTCGACCACTGAGTGGGCTTGGCAAGCCCTAGGGAACGTCCACTCCGAATGTCCACTCTGGAGTGACCCACTCTGACAGCCTCTCTCTGCCACCATGACAGTCTCCAGCCCTTTCAGGACCACTGGAAGCGGAAAATCAGTCCGATCACCTCACCTAAGAAGCCTGGGATTTTCAAATACCAGGATCATCAGAGAAAAAGAGAAGAGCCTCAAGATCTTATCTAAGGAAAACAGCCATGGTGCTTGAATTCCCAAATTAAAACCAAACACATGGAATTTTGAGATCCAGCTGCACATAGAGTTTCTACCACACAAGCTCACCCTGGTACACCAAGGATCTTATGCTAATAACTTCATGCACCTGGTATGTGCCCAGCACCATGATGATCAGGAGACTGGGGCAGAAACAGACATGGAAAGAGGGCTCCTGCTGTGAGGGGCTCAGTCTGTGACGGAGGCTGTGGGAGGCCAGAGGAGGCAAGCTTGTCTCCTGGAGGAGACACAGCATGTTATTTCCCAAAATTGGCCGCAGCTTCTTCCCCAGGCCCCCACGGCCCCACTCAGAGCACATCTGTCCACTGATGAACTGAGCAGACTTAGGAGGTATTCACTGGTTGGGCTCCACTTCCGCAGCCTCACAGAGCCCCGATTCTCCTGGGGCTGAAGGCACACTGGGTTGCTGTTCCCCAGCATCCTAGATCACGGTCCAGTGCTACTGGCCCACCCTGGAGAGGCCCACACCTGGGCTGCTTTTGTCCTATAGGCCACACCCTTCCTTGACTTTCATCACCAGCCTACGTGCACATCTCCTGGGGTCTCACATCACTGGAAACAGGCCATCCTCCACGATGCTGAGCACAGAACTCTCACTTCCTGACCGCATGGCTCACTGTGCCCACTCTATCCTCTGCATGGCCTCTGTCCCTCTGGTCCAAGCTTGGGTGGCTGCACTGTCTCTGACCCCTGCAGCAGTTGGAATATGGGCTCCAGCCTGGGCTGGATTCACCATCCACCATTCACCATATGGGCAGAGGGGGACTCACCCTCTGCCTTGGTATCCTCAAATATCAAATGGTGTGGAATCAGGCCCACCTGCCAAGGCTGCTGTGAGGATCACGTTAGCTAATCCATGTAAAGTATGTAGATGGCCTGGGAACGATTTGACAAATCTGTAACTTTCAACTATGATCACTGCTGAAGCACATGAGGACGCCTCACTACCTGGGGGTTTTCAAAGGCCCAGGTATTGGTGACCTTCAGCTGAAGCCTCAGGGGATCCTTTGACTTACGGCTGTCAACCCTGGTCACCTGGGCAGTTTCTGGAACGTCTGACGCCCAGCAATCAGGCATCAGGACTGTCTAGCCTCCCTGGTGAATCCAGCATACAGTCAGGGCTGGTACTTCTGTAGTTACCTGGGGACACTGATGCTGCCTGATGTAAGCATCCTTTATCTCCTCCTGTCCACAGCAGCCCGCTCTCTTCCCCTTCCTGATGGCAACACTGCCACCCCTGCAGAACCCCAATCTGTAGTCCTGAGCTGCTCCTGCATCTTGCAGCCAGTATTTCTCTAGCTCCTTCCCTCACTGCCCATCTCACATCTCTGCTGATCTCTGGGAAGAGTGGACCATCGAAGTAGTACCATTTAGTCATTTACTTGCTCTGGCTGCAGACCTCACCACACTGAATGAGCCTCAGAAGTCAGCAGGCACTCCTTCTCTCACCCACCTTCAGCGCCCAGGTAACACTGCTTCTCTCCTGCTTCCAAGGACTCTCTCTCTGGCCTGTCTGTTGAACCTTTTCTTCCCAAGCCACCTCCACTGGGAGGAAACACTGCACCGGTGGTCTGCACCCCTCCTCCAAGTCAATCAGCACACTCTAGCTGATTTGAGACGAATCCCTGAAGTCAACTCCCCAGCCCGGTCCCTTGTAACACAGCATCTCCTAACAGGACACCTTCACCCACTAAGCGCCAAGCCTCAGAGCCAGGCTAACCCTTCCCTGCGACCAAAACTAACACCTACCTCATTGTGCTATCATGGGGAGTCAGTGCGGAAATGTGTGCAAAGCACAGCACAGCGCCCCGGCACATCAGTGATCCGGGAATGCAAATGAAGCCTTTTCATGTCTTCCCTTCTTGGCAGTGCCCTTTAGAGGACACTGGTGTTACCCAGGGTTGGAGTCTGCCTCCTTCACCTGGGGGTGCCCCCCTACTGGCTGGGACAGTGCCAGCACAGACAGGCAGAGCCTATTCCTATCCAGGCAGGGTCCAGTCTCTTTCATCACTGGGTCCCGTGGTGCTTCATATGGGGCAGGTGCTCAGTAAACATGTACCGGGGTTGACATCAGGAGACAGTTTCCCACGTACACATAGTGTGCTTAACCCTGGGTTCTTGCCTGAGTCCAGCAGCACAGAGAGGGCTGTCAGCTGTGATGGCTACTGTCACTCTCCACTGCCTCCAGGGACACCCAGACAGGGGTCCTCTCGCCCCCCACGGCAATAAGTGTCTGCCCAGTATCTTACTCTATGTGCTATATAGATGCAGGTACAGGGGGAGTTCACACCAGTGCGGGGCCAAGTGGGGGCCCTGCCTCTGCGATCCCATCTGCCCTACCAGTAGGAGCACAACATGCACCACGGCATCAATGCACGCCAGGGACTGGGACAGCGTGTGACAAAGCCTCGCGTTAGAACGGGCAGGCCAGAGAAGAATCAGCAAGGGCAGTGGCCTGAGGGAAGCTTCTCTGGGTGGGGACTCACACCACGCAAAGTCTGAGCAGATGAACAGGCTTCCAGAGGGACAGGGAAGCCAAGGAGGAGTCGTGCACATGGAGGCAGCATCCAGATAGTTGGTGGGCAGGAAAGGCTCAAACACCCAGGGTGACACAAGACAGACAGCAGGCGAAAAAAAAACCTACCGTGAGTGAAGAAATACTTACAATCTTCAGGCAAAACTTCCTTAAACTGCTCGAAGTAGGAATTTAACCGCACCAAACTTTCCACATTGATAACTTCTTGTAAAGACGTATCACCAAACCTTCGGAGGTCATACGGGAACACCATTAGTGAATGACACTTCTTTCCAGCATGAACATAACTGCCTTGAAGCTAACAACATGGATTCTCTCAAGCATTATTTGTGCACATCTATATTCTAAGCCACTTCCCTCCTCCCAAGCATACGGTCATCGCTGCTGTGTTGGTGACATGTTTAAATACATTTCATTAGCAGGAACCACACACATTTGTTACAAATGTGCCTAAAAGATTACAGAACTCCATCTGTCCCAGACCCTGGTGCAGCATACACAGAAACCCCTCTCACAGCCACTCACTGTGAGTCCCCATCCTCCCATCCCAGGGGTGCTTAGGAGAGGGGATGGCAAGGGGGCTCTGGCTGGGATGTGAGGACACAGTCCTGTACTTGAAGCTGAAGTCACACTGCCCACTAAATAATCACACCCAACTAGCTGTTCCTCCTGGACTGTATGGGAGGCCCTAGCTCTCTTCTCTCTACGCAGACTCATCCTGTGCATGCCTCACAGGTAGCCAGGACATGCCAGATGTGTAAGGTAGAGGAAGAGGAAAGTACCGTTGAGAAAGACCCCCAGATGGTCATTAATACTGGCAGGCTCTGAAGTCTAAGGCCCGGATGCCCAGTCCAGCTCCACTACTGCTCTGCTGAGGGACTTCCCTGCACATCAGCCTCTTCACGATCCCATGTCACCCTTAAAAGAGCAGGACTCCCTCCTGTGGGTCCACCACAGTCCATTCACCCCAATGCCCACAATGGCTTTTCCTCTAGGCACCTGCTCCCTCGGGGACTGCCCCAGGACACAGTGAGGGGGGCTTGTTTATGAGCTGAGGGGAGAGTGTCCCAAAAGCAGATAAATGAGCAAAGACCTTGCACTCACCAAGTCTTCCCCATCCCCACTCCTCTACCTGCCCCTCTGCTCACTGTGACATGGCCTTGCCTCAGCCCTTGCCAGAAACTGCTCTTGCACAGTCATCAAGAACGGCAGCTGCCAGACACAGGGAGCATTACCGTCTTCCCTGGGACACCTCCCGACCGGGCCCCTGATATTGCCCACTCTCCCTGAAGTGGGTTCTTCCAGCTCTGCTCGCACCTCAGAGGTCTCTGCTTCCTGAGCTAGCGGCCTCAGCTTAAGGTGGCCCCCATCTGTCCCTGAGCACAATCTTCTTCCTGGTTTCTGGGCTCAGTAGATGGAAACACCCCCTCACTACCGACCTGGAAGCCTGTTATTCTCTCCACCATCTCTCTCATACCCTGCGTAACTACAAACCACACCTTCCATTTCACCACTGAAATAGCCCTCCAGTCTGCCCCTTCTTTACCCATACTACTCCTGCCTGACCCAGCTCACCGCCTCTGGCCTGGACTTTCCAACAACCTCCTCGTCACACTTGTCACCCTCGTATCTTTCCAGCACGTGGCCAATAAGTGAACCACTTAAAACGTAGATGAGATTGTGTCCTGCTCTACTCAAACTTCTTCAATGTCTCCCACCAGCAACCACATTTGCTAAGTGGGGGTGACCTACACCTATGTAGGGGTGATTGGTTTCCAGAGGCCCAACAGGAAGATGGCACATCATCCTAGTGACCAAATTCCCTTTACAGCAAGTGCTTTAAAAACCCACATGAATAAGACATGTTCTAAATTCTAAAACGCACATGCCACATGTAATGATAAAACAGGGAAGATTTTCACCTACTAGTGGAAGGTCATTACACATGCCCAAACCCTCCTCCTCTCCAGCACACATAAATACATGCACACACACACTTGCACACATGGGCACATGTGACTCTTCCCTGTTGCCTGGCAGGGGACCCTGGAGGGAATTTACAAGACAAAGGCCTTTAGAGTCAAGGCATGGCTTTCAGCCTGGCATACAGGCCTCTCTAACCTCACCGCTGCCCATCCTGGTCTGGGACCTTGGCCTTCAGCACCCCCGATGGTTTGTCCCCACCTGCATTTGCTCAGGCTTATTGGCTTGAGATGCCAGGTCTTTCCTTCACCTCCTCATCTGACCAACTCCTACTTACTCTTCAAAACCCAATTCAACCATCAGCCTCTCCAGGAAGCCCTCTCTCACACCCTCTCCCTGGGTCTCCTGTTAGGACCCCTACTCCCTGTATTCATCTTCATCCTTGTGCCCACATCTCTCTCCTACCAGCCCAAGTCTCTTGAGGGCACAGACCACATCTGGCTCATCTTTGTGTCCCTAGCACCAAACACAGGGCTGGGTATATGGCTGCATCTGAAGACTGTTGGCCAAAAGAAGGAAGGTATGACAAAGTCTACGCAGCACTCAGAGCCTGAGAGGGCTAAGGACATTTTCTATAGCACCTCACAAGAGCACTCCAGCCACCCCAGCCCCCACGAGAGCCAGGCACGCACCTCTCGGCTAGTGTCTGCTGCTCGTTGATGCCCACATTGAAGAGGACGGGCTGCACCCGCAGCAGCATGCCACTCTGGATCTCCCGGGGCAGGGCGTCGAACAGGGGGCCCGGCAGAGGGATCCGCACGTTGAACCCATCACTGCAAAACAGTGGAGAGAGCCAGAGGATGGGTGAGGGCTGGGACAGGGGAGAGGCAGGAGAGGAGGTAAGTGAGAAGAGGAAAACCAAGCTGGCCTCGATACTGGAGTGCAGACTGGCCGTCCAGCTCAGTGGTTTCCAAACTGCTGGTCATGAACCTTTACAGGTCTGTGAAATTAATGTGGAAGGCTAGGATCAAGATTTTTAACTGAATGAGACAGAATAAAACAAAAATGAAAGTACATCACATGTAACGAACATAAATTAAAACCCAGTGCTAGTTCTGAGAATTAAAAAAAAAATCTTTCTACCGATTTCCAGTGATGACGGGCAGCATGTCTGTTGATGCATTAGAAGTGGCCTGAGTGACTTTGAAGGTCACGTTCCTCAGGTCCATGATTCCAAGGCTCATGTCCTCCAGCATAGCCAGCTCCTCACCTGGATGCGAGAGACGGATGGAAGGAGGTCAGGTGGAGGGGACCTGCCCTGTGGGCTCAACACAGCCACAGAGCTGTGGGAGGTGATGGGATCAGGCATGGTGTGACGAGAGGGGGCCTGTCTCAGCCTCTTCACCAGCTGACCCACTTCTCCATGGGGAAAGGTAGCTACTGAAATCCCCCGCGGCCACATTCAGCAGCTCGGCTGGTGGAAACATGCACCACGACTCACAGCCCTCTCTGGTGAGAGGAAGTGTGGGGCAGAAAACTGGCATGTATGGAGTCTCAGAAAGCAAAGCTGGCGCTTCAGAAATGGACAGAGACAGCAAAACAGCACACTGGGGCTGGATCCCTCCACTCCATAGTGCTTGGCATTTACTTGATGTCTTATAACTCTAAAGACTGACAAATACTTCTAAAAAGTTATCCATTTTTATCCTCTGAGAATAAAAAAATGAAAGTAGGAAGGAAGAAGAGTCTTTTTAGAGGGCAATTTGGGAATATCTATGAAATTTAGAAATATTCCTGCCCTTTGACCCAGAAACATTCCTTCCAATAATGTAGTGGCTGCAGAAATGGGCCCACAGGCACACACAGACTTGTGTGTGGAGACCTATGGCAGCACTGTTTTCATAAGAATAATTCAGGGGCGCCTGGGGCTCAGTTGGGTGAACATCCGTCTTCAGCTCAGGTCATGATCTCGTGGTTTGTGAGTTCGAGTCCCACGACGGGCTCTGTGCTGACAGCTCGGAGCTTGCAGCCTGCTTTGGATTCTGTGTCTCCCTGTCTCTCTGCCTCTCCCCTGCTCATGCTCTGTCTCTCTCTGTCTCTCAAAAATAAATAAATGTTAAAAAAAAAAAAAAAAAAACCTTAAAAAAAATAATTAAGAAACGGCCCAATGTCCCACAGGAACATTGCTTAAATAATTATCATCCATCCTCAACCAGAAAGATCTTTGTTTGTAACAACCAACAACAAAACAAACTACGGATGTGTGTGTCTGTAACTACATAGGACTTTTATTTGGTTCTTGCATATTTTGATGATGTTTAGATTTATTTTCATCAGCATGCGCAATTAGAAAACTATCTGGGAAGAAAGAATGGGAATCACACACGTCCGTACTGCCCAATACCCCCAGAATCCCGGAGGCATAGGGTGTGTGGGAGCCCCTGGAGCCTCACCATAGGTGCTCAGCAGGCTCTCGAACTGGGCCAGCAGCCCAATGGTGTAGAGCTGGCGCAGGAAGCCATCGTCATGCAGGCAGTTCCTCAGCTTGATGATGAAGCCACAGATGAGAGCAGTCAGCTGTGGGGGAGACACGAGGTGAAGCAGTTGTGAGGGGGACAGACACCTCCTCACTAAATGGCTACCAGCCTGTGCCTTGCCCTTGGCCCTGAGTTTCTCCACTTTCACGGCTCTGGCTGGGCCGCAGCAGCACCTCTTCCCCCTCCATCTGGGCTGTGGGGAGCACTCAGCTCTGAGGTCATGCGGGGCAGAGGCCATGGGGAGGGCGCACAGCACTCCAGGCTTGCCACTCCTATTGCTCGCAAAGGCTGGTTTGGCTTTGGCTAAGCTTCCAACCTGAACTGCCTGGGCTTCCTCCTGGGCTAGAACCTTCTGGAAGCCTAGAATTAATTTCCCACCATGAAAAGGTTCTGTATACTCACAGATTCATACCAGCTCTGGCTGGAAACTGAAGTGATCATAACAGAGAACGGAAGTGAGAGACAACACGGTCACTCTGCAAGTTACCTCAGTGGGAGATATTCTGTGGGATGAAACAGGCCTCACAAGGATGGGCCGGTGGACCCGCAGAGACCAGCCTGACCTTCTATCACTGTTCACTTTGCTTTTGGTAACTCGCATCTACCAAACTCATGACATTCTCCAAAAGAGAACAGAAATTATCACAGCAGTTGTGCACAAGCAGCAGAACTAAGGCACTGACAGCAATAATCGTGTCTCCCTCACTAAACTCCTTTGTAGGAAAAAAGGTGGCAAAGAGGCCTGTGTCATGCACAATGCAGCATGCCTCGGGCTGGAGCCGCGGATGTGCCCAACCCACCAGTGCCACTTCCATGGGGAGGAACAAGGGTGGACTCGGACCCTCTCCTAAATACAGACTTATCGAGTAGGATTCCTCCCTCCAGGTTGAAATCTAGACCTCTCTAGTAAATAACTTTAAGAGCCACAGGCAGGTGGAAGTATTGTCAACCTTGGTTTTTTCAGGGTGAAGCCAGAGAACAAGTTCCTAAGCCTGTGTTTTCTGAGGGTGGAGGTGCCCATGGGCTCCTGTGCCACTCCCGGGGCTTACAGTTTGGCAGAAGACCACATCCCGGCGGTACTGCAGGCTCAGGTACGTGGCTATGGTGGGAGCGCTATCCTGCATCAGCAGGAAGACCATTGCCTTCTTGGCCTTGTCACTCATCATGGCCACACAGTCTGTGAGGGTGGTCAGCAGGGGGTAAAGGGCCTCACTCCATTCACCTGGGCACGAGAAAGGAGACGTGTGAGGAGGAAAACTTTAAGAATTACGTTCTATAAGTTTAGCAAGTTGCCTGACCCTAACCCTCATACTGCCCCCCTCCCCCTCCCCATCCCTTCTGCATCTTATATCTCTGCTCGGCCCAAGCTCTGGCCCAGAACTGGCACTAAGTTCTGCCTGGAACCAACCCAGTCTCCAACCTTCTGGCCTGAAGCTTTTCCAGTAAACAAAGAGGGGACCTACTGTGGGACCAATGATGTAGGCCTTGTTTCCCTAACCTACTGTGGGCTGTATACATAAATGCTCAGGATTATTCCTTTTGAGGAAAATGACGAAAAAGTTTCTGTGAGTCATCTGCAATTCACCACTGTTCCTCCACCCAGGGTGAGAAGGGCACCCAGAAAAGTGACCTGTTATCTTGCTTCTCTTGACCCAGGTATTAAGGCAAAAGCCCCCATCTTTCTAGAGCAAAGGACAACTCCACCCTTGCACAGCCAGTGTGTGGCTGTGGGTACATTCTCACTTTCCACGTCTGGAGGAAAGACCGTTTGTTCCACATGGTTTGCTGTGTTTTCAGCTCTCAGAATATCCCCTGCTTCTGCACTTTCTTCCCCGCCCCCAAACTCCCTGCCCGCTGCACTCTATTTCTAGTTTAGTTTTCTCTTAGAGGTATTAGGAAATTGTGACCCTGTACCAAAACAACTTTTTTTTTAAAAAAAATAGAACCTCAGGGTAGAAAAACAGAGTCAAAGGTATTTTGGGCTTTGGCTCTTTTTTTGCCTCCCTATTTAGAAGGCATTTAAAAGAGAAAAGACATGCCCTCATCAGTTCTATTTATAACAGGTCACCAAGCCCAGAAAGAAGCGTTTAACTGTCACCACTGGGTGAGCCCACCACAGCAGAGGCTGCACAGGCAGGGAGTGGAGCCCAGGCAGCACACGGCACTCAGGATGAGGTGCGAGTGACACCACACCCACAGACGTCACCGCACTGGGGAGAAAGGGTAAGCTCTGTCTTAGACAAACAGAATCCAAAACCCTGAGTGAAGGGAGACGGGCTTCACTCTCTCAAACTGTATGGGTAGCACTTTGTTGAGACACAGATTTAGAGAAATGCCTAAACCTTGCAAAAGGACTTCCCTATACTCAGTGTTCAGCTGAGGCAGATTTTCAAGTACGTGAATCCATTCAAAGTCTGGAAATGATCTCACTGTGTATGCAGGCATACCGTATGTGGACAAGGATTTATATCTGTAATTTAAAAAAAAAAAAAAAAGCAGGCTTAAATTTAGAAAGTCTATAGCAGGAAAGGTCTTAGCAAAGAACTCATGGTGACAGAGAACACTGGACCGAGGAGTGGAAAATATGTGTCCTGGGCCCCAGCTGCCGCTGAGCAGTGCTGGCCATGGACAAGTCTCTTGACCCCTTGGCCACGTGAGTCCTTTTAGTAAAATGGAAGAGCTCTGCTGGATAACATCCAAGTCTCTTTCTTCCTCTGAAAAATCTCAGAGGCCATGTTTTTGTTTCTTTGAAGAACTCTGTTGCATGCATGTAAGTTATATTCAGCAACGATCAAAAAAGACAATGGCAACCAAATTTTAATAGCCAAATAATTGGGGGAAAGGTAGGCAGTCATTAATTAAGAAGTAAATGCTCTTAGAGCAAATGCTGCCGGTTTTACTTTGCTTTTCCACTAACGTGCAGGTACCTATGCAATTAATATGCAAATTATCATCATTTTAATCTGAAAATGATCAGAAAGTACAAGTGGTCTTAGCTGACTAAGCAAATCTTCTCCATGCAATACTTTTTCATTTTACCTGCTTCTCTACTTCTCTTTCAAAAAAATCCATTTAAGTATGATGCAGTTTTGTTACATTAGGGGGGAAAAACTCTGAAAAAAATTGGGAATAAAGGAAGAATGGTTAAGAAGCACTGGGATCTTGTCCTGAAGAAAAGATGTGGGTCTGGATGGGAGAGGAGCCTACCATCTTCCCAGAGGAGGGCTCACACACGCCTGGATGGCTCCAGAATTCAGGAAGAGTGCCAGCCACCGTGTACATAAAACCAACCAGTGCTTTGGGGCTCCTGGGTGGTTCAGTCTGTTAAGTGTCTGACTTCGGCTCAGGTCATGATCTCATGGCTCGTGAGTTTGAGCCCCACATCTGACAGCTCAGAGCCTGGAGCCTGCTTGGGATTCTGAGTCTCCCTCTCTCTCTCTGCCCCTCCCCTGCTCACACTCTGTCTCTCAAAAATAATAAATAAATATTTAAAATATTTTAAAAAAACCTGTCAGTGCTTTACCTGTTTCCTCATTTAATCGACAGAAAGAATATTAATAATACAGGTAAGGAAACAGGCTCAGAGAGGTTAAGTGTCTTCCCAGACACAAAAAGAACTGGCATTTGTATGTGTCTGACTGACCCTAAGCTCCATGTTATTTTTATTGTGTCAGGTTGCTTCTGCCAAATAGAGAGTAGGGGTTGAGGGGGAAATAAATTTGGGGGGAATATGAAGAAAAATTATAATTAGAAACTTCCAGACAAAATGGATTTCAGGGACAGTAATGAGACTTCTACCAGGACCTAGCTTAGTAAAGGTATCTGGGATATTACATTTGGTGACGGTGTCATATTCTGCTCCCTTCGTCAAGAAAGACTTGCTATGAAAAAATAATCAGCCCAACTAAACATTGTCCTTAGTGATGCAGCTGATTCACTTCTGGGTGGGGAAGGGGGGTAAGCTCCTTGTCTAGTTGACAGTCTGTTAATGCTCACTGACTAGTGGTCAATCCATGGACCATGCTACTTTGGATAACTTTGAAGAGTTTTTTCAAATCCATACCCTGCTTTTGCATTTTTTTCCCCTCATTAACAGAGGAGGGAAGGAAGTTGGAAAGGAGGGAGGAAGATTGAGAAAGAGTGAGAGAAAAAAATGTGTGTGTTAACCAAGATAAAATATGGCTCTCCAGGAAAAGCCAAAGGAACTCTTGGCAGGGAACCATTTTAGTTCGCCGACATTAACTGTGGACAAGCCACCAGTGCTTCTAGAAATGACACAGCTGATATAAAATTCATGCTGTTGTGTGAGCTGAGAGGGTTCACTAAAACTGACAGAGAGTTTGGTAAATTCCCAATCACCAGTTCGCTGTACTCTAGATATAACACAGGTATCCTGCTACCTCACATTTATATCCAGTCAGAAATATGCAATCATCAGACCGATTGGGTAGCTGGTTTTTTGGGTGTAAGCAAAAGCATATTATTTGGGGGTCTCATGCTCACTCTGGGAAACCCACAAGCCACAACTAGGAAACTCAACATGAACTAGAGCAGGGGTCGGCACACTTTTTTCTGTAAAAGGCTAGATAGGAAGTATTTTAGGCTTTGAGGATCATGGGGTCCTTGTCACAACTACTCAATTCTGGCATTGCCCCAAAAGCAGCCATAGACAATACATGAATGAGTGGACATGACTGGTTTCCAATAAAATGTTATTTACCAGAGCAGGCAGTGGACAGGATTCGGCTCAGAGCTGCAGTCTACAGACCCCTGAACTAGAGCCATGCACATTGACTTCTACGTGCAAATGCAGCAAAAAGATTCCATTTTTAGCACTATCTCCAACTGAAAGCTGCCAGCAATGCCTACTAAGAATTCTAAGCTGCATCCAGACTCGGGAGAGAGGATGCTGTGTGATTATGAATACTGCAACACTTGGATGGCTACACCCTCTCCATGTAATGCTCACATGCTTCACAAGTTCAGGTGAAATCATAGGAAGTACCATTTACAAATATGTACTGTTCTGAATCAGGAAGCCCAATGTCCTCACGGATGTTAATCATCTGGAAAGGTTACATGATGGGAAAGTGAAAAAACTGCATGTGGTTGCCTGCTTCAGGCCACAGTCCCCAGCCCAACTGGTCCCTCACCAAACCTAAGAAAAGTTGCTACGTGTCTCAAATGAACAAACTCCTAAAATATTTTCCTAACTCTGGAAGCACAGGGGAATCTTGGATAATTCAACTACAAACACTACCTGAGGATTATAAAGACATCTGCAGAAGCCTTGAACGGAAACCACGTACCTGGGCTGGACTCGTCAGGAGGGGGGCTGCAATCTGCACAGAAATGGAGGGCAACATGGATGATTAAGGAGCAGCACAAAGTTCAAACACGAACAACTCAACGCTTACAGCAACTGCATCAAGCAGCCGGCAGTAAGGAGGCTCAACTGAACACAGAAGAGGTCGGAGGCCTGCCTGCCTCTTCCCCCAAGAAGTCCCACGCAGGCGCGGGGCTGCTCCGACACAGCCGAGCCCTCCTGGTGGTAAACACTGACCGACTCCGTGATTCGTTCATTCATGTTGCTAAGACTTCAACATAAAATGCTCTTCAGGACGAGCAAACTAACATATTACAATGTGATAAAGTGCCCACACTGATCACATTGTATGTGACGGAGCCCATGTTGGCTCACGGCATCTGGAAGCACACTTGTAGTGAGAGAGACTGACCAGCAAATTGATCATCCCCAATTCAGAGCCCACTGCCCTGACTCTCGAGTGGAACCTGGGCTGCAGACTGACTGCTGAGACCCCAAGGTGAGGATCCAGCGATGAAACCAATATACCAACCAATGTCTATGCCAATCTTTAAAATTTAAACCAAATTTAAAATGTCTATGATTTGGGGAAAGACTAGAATTATAATGTCCCTCCAGGTGGCTCAAGGAATGCCAATTTTAATTCAATTTCACCTACACTGAATCGCATTTCAGCAAGTGAGGTACTCATTTCAATATTACATTTCCCCTAAAAACTCTAAAATTCCTTGGTTAACTGGGCGTGCCACTGGAAAAAAACAAGTCTGAAAAGGGTCATTTATTTTATGTCTTCAGGTGGGTGGTTTCAGAGCCCCACGAATAGCTGGAACCAGCTTTATGGAGACTTTATAGTCTGGATTGTCCAGAGGTAGGAGTGCCAAGGGATCCTTCCTCTCTAGTCACCTTTGGCAGTGATTTCTTCAACTGGCAAAGGGAATAGAAACAGAGAAAAATTAAAGGCTCCCGTGACTTAAAGATTTCAGCCTCTTCATTAGAGCCCAGATATCCTGAGACCACCTATCTAACAAAGACAGAAACCCACAGCAGTGTGCAGTAATGCAGAACAGTCATTCTTGTTTAAACTTCTGTCCAGCTAATCAGAATTACTCCAGGCCTTGAAAAAAAATACAGATTTCTGCCTCCCATAACCCTTCCTCCAAGATTCTGGGTCTGAGTGAGCAGGAAGGTCCAGGAGCCTGTTTTATGATCTTCTGTGGTGATCCCAAACGACTGGGTTGTGACCATTCCCCAAAAAAGGGCACCAGGGGTTAAACCTGGCTGGGTAAATTCGATCTTTCAATCAAAGCAGGGAGTGTGTGTGTGTGTGTGTGTGTGTGTGTGTGTGTGTGTGTGTTGGGGGAGGGGTCTCCTCTGGTACTCTTGTACCAGTGACTGGTAACTTAGGCCATGGAGTCCCCTGAGATTTGATTAACACATAATCTTGAGGGCATACAAACCTGAGACCCCAAGACCCTGGTCCGGGGTGTGAATGGCTCTTCAGCAATGAGGAGAGGATGAGAATGTGTGCAGAGCAGATAATGGAAGCCACCAAACGGGGAGGCTGCGGGTGGTGGTTCAGAAGAGCATGGGGCACTTGTACGGAAAGCGGGAGAAGGAAAGAGGCTCACGGAGCCTCTGGTTCCAGCTGGCAGGGACTTGTCAGTGGGTCCCGCAGTGATCCGTGTGTGCCAGGCACGGCTCTGATGAGTTCTGCAGGACAGCAAGCTAGAAGGCAGGGCAACTCCTTAGTAGAATATGAAAACCAAAGACCTAGGACAGGGTACAGAGCTAGAATGAAAAGTGATGATGCCTTTCAAAGAGGTATTCATATATAATAAGCTGGTGTGAACACAACCTGCTCATTAGGCCAAAACCACTACCCCAGGAGGTTGCAATGGTCTAAAAAGTCATGGCAGAGCTAAGGTCTGGCCCTTGAGGATAAGAGACTGAGTAAAATAAACAGCTTGCAGGCTCATTCTTTCTGAACCTCCTGATCACACCCAGGTCTGAACAGCTTCCTAGGAATGTTCGAGATTTTTAAATTAAGGATCATCCACAGTTAATTTAGTGGCAAACGGTTTCATATGTTTCTTTGAGTACTGATCAGCAAAGTTAGCCTCTCTCAAATGTATGCTTCATATTCCCATGATCACAACAGAGCTGATCTGCATGGCAAATACAAGTCATGCCCTAAATACCATAAATAAATGCTCATTTAAATAACTTTAAAACTGCATTTAAATGTGTCTACATTTGACCAATACAGTATGTGCCTAGAAAGAAAGTGACATTTAAGTTATGGCTATGACAGAATATCTGATTAAATAAACTATCTCTGGCATTTTTTAAAAAATCCAATAAATTACTCTTTTTATATCTGCAGGAAAACTTGAAAATTACAAGCAAGACTATATTGAAGAGAAATGAGCAATGAGCTTTCCAATTTTTTTTTTTTTTTTTTTAAGCACAAGTTACATTTAAAAAAATGAGAAGACAGACAGGACAAAAGAGCTCCATGAAACCAATCACAGGTTTGGGGAACTGAAACTATAGCCCTTCACAGATGGAAGGGGTGGAGGATGTGAACACTGTTGAATCAGAGGCTCAAGTGAAATCGCGCCCTGGAAACAGACTGCAGGCAGATTGCGAAGGTGAAGGGCATCTTACAAACGAAGGATTTACCAAGAGGCTCTGATAAAGGAGCATGGTTCTGCCTAGAATGAAAGTTGTGCAATTTAGAAATTAAAAGTCCTCACTGTATGAAGCCTAACCCTGGCACACCCTACTAACTACAGTTAGTAGGCCCTACTAACTACTAACTACTAACTACAGTTTAACACTCCCAAAGGTCTGCAGCCAGCTCTCAGCTGCCTGGCACATAACCCCACCCCCATCAGCTCTTACAGGAAAAGGTGGCAAGAAAAGGTCCCTGAGTGGCAAGGATGTGCCTGTTTAGAAAGCATGCAGCCCCTGGCTTTAGGGCTATATGCAGGACAGAGTGGCTGATTATGCTCCGGGTCTCCACAGGCAGAAGACGGTTTCTGAAGCATGTTGCTTCATGCCAACGTCCTACCATCTACTGAGGGCACTGCCTCGGAGGTGGTGCTGGACAGAGGAACCTAAACTCAGCTCCAAGAACAGGTGCCGCCACCTGACTGAGTTACCAACAATTCCCAAGGCGGCATGCCCTGCTGGAGAAGAGCATGCCCAGCCAATGACAACCAGCCTTTAGACAAGTGTGCTGAGCCTGCTAACAGCTCTCATCCAGCTGTGTCCCTGCATGATTCACCTTTTCCTTGATTCTATCAATTCCCAATTCAATAAACAATCTTATCAGAAAAGCATCTGCATTTCTGCCTCCTTCAGGTTCTCAGATTGGTTTGCAAACCAGCAAAGCCCAGGAGCACCCCCTCACTGATGTGGCAATGAGACCCAAGAGGGCCTTCTGATTCTGCCTTAGCCAGACATGCAAATTCACACGTGGGCTCCAGGGGCGTGGACTACAGGAGCCTCTGCCCTCACTGCCCGCTGCTCCACACAGTGACCTCTGGCTCTGCCTGACAGCCCTCCCTGCAGTCTGTGTGGGGGAAGAGGTCATGGAGTCAGACAGACAGACAGACAGACATATGCAGCGTGAGGTGGAGGCAGCGTGAATGGGAAGCGTGGATGCATACGCACGTGTGGTCAGGCGAGGATGGCATGCAGCAGAGGAGATGGTGGAGGGGCATGGCGAGGAGGGGACATCATAGAAGGGGTCTTCCGGTTTGATCCAGTAGGCGTGGCTGTGCCGGTTACCTTTCTTGCTGGTACAGCTGCCTGCACAAGGGAAGACATCCTCACAGCCCTCGCCATGCAGGCGCTCCTTCTGCAGCAGCTTGTCCACCCGCTGAATGATGCACTCCAGGCTCTTGTCTACGTTCAGCCACACTTTCTCCTTCCAAACCAAAAGGGCCCATTTGGGTCAGCTCTCCCAGTGGGAAAAACAGAACAGAGCACAATCTACCCACCCCCACCCCTGGTGCCCCCCCACACTGATTCCTCTGCCCTGGGCCACTAGGATCATTAAAATATCACGAATTTAGAACATCAAGATTAATTCAAAGTTCTCCATTACCGTTGCATTTGCTTTTCAAAACACAAATGCACTGCGCTCATTGTTTTTAAAGCTGGGGACACGTTTGCTAATAACTGTCACGGAGGCCAGCTAGGACTTCCCAGTGCCTTCCAGAGCTGGCAGAAAGGCCACAGGGCCCAGGGAGCCAGTGCGTCCGCTCCTCTTTCCACCACACACCTCCTACAACCATCAAACACATGAGACTGAGGGAAGGTAATGGAAACTGCTGATCACTTCATACGGGGGAAGTGGGAAAGCAGTGAGGCAGGGCTAGGAGTGGTTTGCAGAAACCCACGCAGAATACAGGACGCCAGGGCAGGGCTGGAGGAGCACTTTGCTGCTGACTAGTAACTCAGTGCCTCGCAGAACACTGCCTCCAAGCAATAGTCCCAACAAAAGGCAAAAACGACCTGTGTGATGTGTTGCTCCCACAGGAAAGACAGATGCTGCTCTCAGGGCCACTCCGTCAGGAAGCAGAATGCTCTGCATGCAATGTCCGGGTGCATCTCCAGACTCCTCACTATCCCCCCAAATACAAACGGCCCTAGGAGGGCTGGCTGCAAGCAGAGCTTTAGGAAGCAGGAGGCCTGGTGAGGGAAGAGGCCTCCAGCAGGGCAAAGGCTCCACAGAGAACACTGCCCCCTTTACAACCAGGTCTGACACCAGTCGGGCCTGCAGCAGCCCTGCCCCTCAGATGGACACAAGGTGTGAAAATGCCATCTCCTTCGGTAAATCAGGCAGCCCTCCAGAAAAGAGGTGTGGAGCACGTCTACGAAGCAGCTGACATGTTAGGCACTTCCGGGTGGGGAGGAGCAGGCAAGAGGCTCTGAGTTCTTCAACCCAAGCTCAGTAGCAGAATAAGGGCCACGAGCAGCAGACTCACCCACTCCTCCTCATGCCAGTCCACTTGCAGAGAAGACCGGCTATTCCTCCCCGTCCACCTGGCCATGAGGGTGTCCTGGTCATTCCTAAGCATCACCTGCTCCTCCTCACTCGACGTGGGGGAGGCCTTGGAGGCAATGTAGTCGGGTCGCGCTGCGTTCAGCCCGTGGATGGAGTTGGCCAGCAGCTTGCAGTCGCACACGGTGACCAGCTGCCGGGTCTGCAGCACACACAAACCAAAGCTGCTGAGCCCCCAGGTGAGGGGCTGCAAGGCTGGTCCTCTCTAAGGGCTCAGAACTGTCCTGAGACCCAGCTGCGTACCCTTCTCCATAGCGCAAGAGCCCTCAGGACGGCTGAGTTTAAAGGCTGCCACGTGAGCAGTTTAAAGGTTCCCACAAGAAGTCTGGAGGACACAGAGAGAATGGACAGAGGTCGAGGAACCTCTGACTTTCTTCGATCCCTGCCTGCCTCTGAGCCTGACAGGACTCCAGGAAGGGCCTGAAGAGAGCCCCGGTTCCTTGTCTTCACCAACTCCCTGAGCTGTCCACTCTAGTTATAGGGGACAGGCCTGACATTGGTTCGATGACTGAAGTCTTATCTTTTCTGCATCTAATCCTTGAAGCCCTGGGCTCTGAGCAGTGGGGCTCTCAGCACAGCACTGTGGTTCTGGGGAATTCTGTATGCAGGAGTTAGTTCTGTGGCTCATAATTTTCCTTCTGATAACATCATCTTTCTTTTCTAAGTGGATCTAATTCCCAGCTCTCAATCTTTTTGCTAAGTGAACACATGTGAAGGATATAGCACATTCTGATCAGGAACAGCATCTCACCCCACCAAAGTGGGTGTGAGTGGGGAAGTGTGATCAGAATCTGTGTGTGTGCGTGTGTGTGTGTGTGTGTGTGTGTGTGTGTGTTGAGAGACTGAGTAATTTGAAAAAGCATCATCCATCAAGATGATCTGGTGTATCTAATCCCCCAGTTTAAACCAATATTTATATATTTTTAATCAGGATCAAATTTTGGTTAATTAGAAAATAGCTTACTGTTTATATTTAGGCCAATGAAGTTGTATTTTCCTTATTGTATGTTTGTGTAATAATTCAGCTTCTTTTTTCAAATTCCAAGTCAATAAAAATGTGGCAAAAAACATACTGAGTAGGCAGTTGCTAAGAAAGCTGTGGAACTATGCCAGATTCAACAATGAACCCCATGGATTTGAGGGGAGACATATCTGCATGAAGTAGCAGCTGGAAGTCACATGCTCTGGGATCTGTCCTTGGCCTGCCCCAACCAGTTCTGTGGCCACAGGCAAATCACCTAACCTCCCAGGGCCTTTGGGGGAACCAAACCTGAAACTAGATCTTCAAGGTCATCCCAATGTCACCCTTTCTGTGGACACCTCCAAGCACACATGGGGTGTCCCAAGTGTTTCTAGAAACCCAAGGGAGCCCCCATCCCACATGCAGCAGGGTAGTCCCTCCTACCTTGTCTGCTAGAATGGCGAGGGTTCTTTCAAGACCTGTGGCAGACCTGTCCTTGGCTGCCCTGGAGAGCCGCTCTGCATAATAACTCACTTGGGTTTTCAGGGTATTGATCTGGGCAATGATCTCCTTGGCTCTGATGATGTCCTGTGGTATGTAGATTATGGACTGGCAGCTGGATGGTGTACTGTAAAGGATAAAAACAGATTCTAAGGGCTTTCCTCAAATGTATGAAGATGGCAGCAGCATCCCAACCCTAGCCCACAACCAACACAAAGTTAAGTATTCTGATTCTCAGGGATGTTCTCCTAGGCTAGTCTACCTGTTGACAGGCAAAAGCAGTCTACGGCCATACCACCCTGAACGCGCCCGATCTCGTCTGATGTCGGAAGCTAAGCAGGGTCGGGCCTGGTTAGTACTTGGATGGGAGACAGGCAAAAGCACATCTCAAGAGATTTCTTCTGTCCATATGGTAGAAGCCTTAAAATATTAAAACAATGAAGTCTTTTATCTCCATTTGTACATGTCTATATTCTTATGTAAGTGTGCACACAGATACTGAGCCCAGTAATTACCCAAATACTAATAATCTTTCACCTAAGAACCTCACCTGTCAAGTTCTCAGCAGTACAGAAATGGAGACACGGGATCTGCTAATCCCAGAGGGGTCAGTTTACCACAGTGAAGGGAGATTGCCATGGGTGCTGGACTTTCCACAAGAAACCTATTTCTCCATTTGGCCAATCTTCAAACTTTCTGTGCACACCCACATAGTTCTCCTCCCTCACACCTCTGACCACAGCAAACTGGACTTCCTTCTCCAGTGCTTCTCTACTTGGAAAAACAATGTCCCATCGGATGAAGAGGAGGTACAGAACGTGCCAGGCCAGAGGCCAGGCCTGGGCACCTCAACAGCTTTGAAAACCTGGCTCTTCCTCCTTCCCTACCTTCTCACCGTCAAGCAGTGTGTGATCTTAGGATCGATGTCAAGGCTACAGCCCAGCCCCTGCGCAGCACAGACATAGGCCTCCGGAGAACTGACTCTACATCCTGGCTGTGTGGGGCCTGGCTAACGTGTCTGGCCATTCTAGTATATGTGCTGCCGAAGCGAGCACCATGTTTGGCCATTCAAGATGGAGGTGATAGATGGCAAGTCTCTCAGTGAAGATCCGAAACCATCTTAATATTACACATTTATTTTTCAGACCATCTGAGAAAGCCAAAGAAAGCAGAGAGTGGTAAAGCACCGATGTCCTCATTGTCTCTTGCAATCTGAAGTTGTGAGCTCTAGTCCCCATCCTTATCAGCCCTGACTGGTTCCCTCAAAGGGCTGTCCTTTGGGTTTTGGGGAAGAGAGTGAAGGTGGAGGAGCACAACCTCCATAGTTCCCCCTGGAGATGAGGGCTGCAGATCCTCCTCTGCCAGGCCCTTTCCAGGGTAACCCGAAGGCAGGTCACCAAGAAACTTCCCTTGACAGACTATGGTGTAAACATGCAAAACCCAAAAACCAAAGCACCCCAGAAAGAAACAACACCCCAAGCCCACACACCACAGTAAAACACAATGGATTTGCCAGAAGCCCATGCAGCAGACCGCAACCAAGCCCACGTGATCTGAGAAGTCATTTCACAGCACGATGTGCACATGACTACTTTCCAATCTGCAATCACTCTTCCAAATGAATAGCTGCCATTTCAGACAATTTAGTCTTAAAAATACAATCTCAAATAGAATTTTTAAAAATCTGTTTTTCCCTGGCCCCAATATTTCGAGCACACATGCAATGTGTGCTTCATGTAGATACACACGTGTGTATGTAGATGGTCGTGTACACTTCAACCAATACATACCATCCCCCCAAGTCAGAAGGAAAGCACCACCCCCTACTCACCTTGTGTTCTCACAGGCCACGTTCTAATAACAGTAATCCAGGACTTACACACAGGAAGCATATGGCGGGGGTGTGGAAGAGTAAATTTCAAAGAGCTGCCGCTCAGTGATGATCGTGAATATACAGTCACCTAGTCCTAAAAGTGGGGAAAGCTGCAGAGGCCTCAGTATGGGTGGGAGGTTCCTCAGCACCTGCTGTCCCCACCAGAGCCCTGACATCTCAGGCAGGGCCCAGCCATGGCCCCTGAGCCTCACCAGCTCTGAGATGGCAGCAGCTCCAAAGGGCTGCAGGGGCTTCTGGGGCCTGTCACCAAGTGAAGGGCACTGCAGAGGCCTGGCTGTAGCCTGAGCCAGCACGTCAGGCGTGACCGCGGAGGGCCTGGGGGAGCGGTGGAGACCCCAGGCAGCAGACAGTGATTTCCGGCTGCCATCTAATTCTTTGGTAGAAAAAGTCACTTGGTTATATTAACTCTTGGTTTGCCCTCAGGGGGAAAATTGACCCAAGGAACACTGTTTTAAAAATCTGCATAAATTATTATTATGAAAACGTAAGCTGGCTTCATTCCCGCAAGAGGTGATGGGAAAGGGAAACCTGAAGCCCTAAGACTCTTGTAAAAGAAGCCAGAAAGGGATTCCCAGCCACACCAATGGGTTGACTTGAAATTCCAGCACCCAGGACTTGCCTGGCCTGGGAGGAACAGGACTGGTTCTTCTCTCGGAGCGGAGCGCACACAGCAATCAACTGCTGCCAGATTTTAAAGGTAAAATGGTGGACTGGAGACAGGCTATTCATTATCAAAGAACATTGCAGTTGGAAGGGAGAATTCTGTCTACGAGGCTCTAACTAGGGGCCCCCGGTGGCACCGAGGGGTGAAGCACCTCACAGAGGAGGGGACAGCACAGGCTTTCTCTACATGAGAGCAAGACCCAAACAGACACTCTCTCCACAGACAGAAAACTCACCAACACTCCTCAAAACTGCTAAAGAAAAGAACCAAAACGAAATATTAGGAGTTAGCAAACACTAAATGCGAAACAAAAAATTAAAAAGCCAAGTTATCTTTTGTCAAAATTCTTCAAGTTAGGTGTCGAGGCCCCCACTGCAGGGACAATAAAACTCATGAGCCCAATGTGCTCAGTCATCAGAGCAACATCAGTGCCATTGCACAAGCCCCAGGGAGACATTTCACCTGTGGGCAAGTTATGTCTGCATTTAAAGGAAAGTTCAAATAATGAAAATCATTTCTGCAAGCAGTTTTATAATGGGAATAGGAAATTAAATGAAAATTTATATTATTTATGTGAAAAATACTCCAGAGGCATTTTGAAAATAAGTTCTAAAGTTAACATACAGAGTAATCAGGTATTAACATCCTGACCTTTCTGGGACAGGGACAGCCAGTGGTGAGCCCTCCTGATGGGCTTTCCCCCCTAGGGCCTGTAGCACCCTCAAATCTCCTACTCTAACCCCCACACAGCCACATGCAATGGAGTGACAGACACGCAATTTCTTGGCAGGCTGTGCAGAGCTGCGGTGGGCCCAGGAAGCTTCCTCTTCATCCTAATTCCCAGAGAACCCTGGAGTCAGTGACTCCTCAGGCGGGTCTGGTTACATGGCTTGTCTGGGCAAGGAAGAGCCCTTGTGGAATCAATCAAGGTCAAGCAGACTGTCCGGGGGCTTCCCAAGAATGTTGCCTTGCCCTTAAGGCTGTAATTCCTCTTCCTAACCCCTGGCCCTTTCTTGTTCTTCCTGCATCCGGCTCCGGGGCTCCCTTGGTTTTGGGGTAACCTGTGCACACATCCCAGTGATGATTTCTCATGGTGTGCTCTCTTCCACCTGCCTGCTTATCCTCCAGCCTCACCCCATGGGTAGAGAAACTCCTACCTGCATCCCTGATCCCCTTAGCCCACTGACCGGCTACTGCACCTGACCTTTCACCCCCTCCTTGACCCAGTCTGCGGTCAGTTTTCTCAATCTGTGTCCTGACTCCTGGCCACGGAAGCACAGAGCCCCCGACTTCCCCAGCAGGTGCTAATGCTCTCCACCTGGAAGCCTTGTTGATTCTCTTGATGCCCCTGGGCCTTTGCTTCAACTTCCTTCCAGCTGTTCCATTCTCCATTGATAAGTCTGACACTTTCAACTCCACATTCTCCAGAGGCTGATCCACGGTATCTGCAGCTTGTTCCTTCATTCCTCAAAGATCTCTCTGCATCTCACTTTCTTCTCTAGTCCCTTCTACGACTACGTGCCTGGTCTGGCCTTTGCATCTCCAGATGCATTCACTTTCATCTTCCCTATCAGCCTGAACACATGATCAAGTAATAACCCTTCTCCCCAAGGGGACACCTTTGTGCTACTTCCTTTACTTCATGGTCCCTGGGTCTTACAGGATCATTTACACTCTTGCCCCTACCTCTTACACTCTCATCCCTCACCTACATAAATCCTGATGGGTGACATTCTGGAAGAGTACCAACACTTCCCACATATCCAACACAACAGCTGGGATTTATGGCTGTCTCCACATCACCCATGCTCCAGGCATGGCACTGCTTGCTCCAAATGGTGGAGTTGACTTGTCTGCTCCCAGGCAAGGCAGGGAGCTCCTCAGGGCCAGGGCTACATCTGTCAGCCCCACAACCCTGGTCACCAGCGTGTGGCCCCGCACTGCGCAGGCTGCCAACGAGGCCAGCCCTCACCCTCAGCTCCTCTCCTCAAAACACCATGCCTCAGCCACGCCTCACTGCATCCTCCACAACACCCTCCCCCACCTGCCTACCTGGCAATTTCCTGCTTGGACTGCAGCTGTGTGCAGCTCCCACCCCCACCCCCTCTAGCCTTCTTAAAACGGGGAATGTTTACCACTGCAGTCCTTTTAGGAAAGGAAACGATCTCTTGCAGGCTTCACACTTTGTGGCATTCGACACACACCACACACCTGGTGTGACTGACTAGGGGCTTTAAGGGACGGCTGAGCCAGCAGAGAGCCCATAAAGGGTAGCCACCTTCCAGGGGGATTTCAATTTGCTGTTCACTTGCGGGGTCAGGATTAGTGAATCAGGTGCCCTCATCACCACCCAGCTCAGCCACACACACAGAGTAGCACAGTGGCAACGAGGCAGCTCCTCCCACCACACAAAAGCACAGTGGATGGCTGGATTTTTGCAGTCATATTTTGATTCTTTTTTTTTTTTTTTTTTTTTAGCCTAGGAAGCACCAGACAGCCATACAAGGACCACAGACACCCTCCATATACTTACTGCTTCTTGGTCTCTTCAAATTTGTGCAGCTTTTTGCGGAGACCTCCTGACTTAAAACCTTGGCAGTGTGCTGCTGGCGCTCCGATGGTGACGATGTCATAGTTCTGATCTGAATGACAGAAAGCTCTCCTCCATTACTCTGGGCTCAGGCCTGTGGACAAGCCAGCTACAGGGATATGCACGCAGCTCTGGGACCCTGCCCCTCCGGCCCATTTCCAAGCAGCCTGTTCCCTCAGTCCCATAGCTTGGATTGTCTGCGGGGCCCCTAGAGCCCAGCACCATCATCTCAGCAGAGGTTCCTACATGTCTTGAGATGGGGCCATAAAGGGCCGGAGGCAGCCACCAGCAACACTCACCTTGTAACCCTCCTTGGGAAGGGTAACTGACAGGCGACTTTCTGCCACAGAAACACAAAGGGAAGCTGGAAGGAGGACAGACGAGGGGGCAGGAACAAAAGGAGGGAAAAGACAAGGGCACAAAGACCTTACAAAGGTCCTGTAACATGTCTCTTATCTCATTTGCCGGGCAGAAGAACATACAGGGAAGGCTGGACATATGCAGGGCAACTCGGGGGCCAGGTGCACAGGGAGAAAGGAAGTGAAGTGTGATTCAGCGAGAGGAACAGAAAAATAGTTACCTGACCCCCCATCGTCTTGAACTCTCATCCTCTGTATGTGCAAGTTTGTAGGAACAAATTCTAACTTTTTATCTGCTTTCAAACTGCTTGCTTTAAACGAGGGACCTAAAGAAACGGAATATGAGAAAACAAGGACCATTGACATGTACCCTGCACTCAGGAATGGCAAGTAGAACAGAGATATTCTGAGGAAGTCGCTACGAGTAAGCATGAACACGCTGGCAGTGGCCTAGGAAATTCTGAATTACCCATGAGCACATTTCATTTCCAGATGGCGGGTGGGTGAAACACTGGAGGGAGGGAGGCTCGCTGGCCAGAAGACTGGCTCCAGGCACTCAGGTGGAGAGCAGAGCCGGGCAGAAGCAGCTTCAGAAAGCTACGGTTACTGGTGCCCTGCCTTCCCATGACTCAGCTCTCAACTGAAAGGTCCGCCACAAAGACTGATTTTGTGCAACACGATGTCAGCACTGCTATAAAAAGCAAATGGGTCCATGCTAGGGACTGCCTGTTCCAACTTTAGAGACTGCCATCATGCAAGAGCTGAGAAATTGGTTCGACTAGAGCAACACATCTCAATTCTGCAACGGGGTGAAAAGGTCTGCTCATCACCTCAGATCTATCAAGATGAACAGATGCCGCACAGCATGGATAGCGACCCTCTGAAACACAAACCTAAATGTGTTCCCTTGTTTACACAAAGGGTGGCGGGTGGGGGGGGGGGGCGCAGTTAAGGTGGATGATGTTTTGTAACTACCATCTACGATCTTGTTTCTCTGATCAGAATCTAACACTAATTAAGAACTACATGCCTAGAAAAGAAAGGGATTATAAATTAACCGACAATCAGAAGAACAGAAGAAATAGACCTTTTCTCTAGTGATAAAAGGTGAATTTTGCCAGGATACAAAATGCAGACAAGCCGATGTCTGCTTTGCATTTTGCCCTAGGAGACTGTCCTCCAGGACCTGATACTCACAGTGGCCCAGAAATCAGCAGTAGTGGCATCCTGAGAGCCTGTTAGAAATGCAGAATCCTAGATCTGCACTGCAGCAAGATCCTCAAGGACCAGGATGCACACTGACATTGAGATTCTCTGCTCTGGAAACTCAAGCTCATGTGGGTTTCCTGCTTTCTCAGGTAACAGGTACCTGGCATGGGTAGGTGCCTAAGTTCCTTCAGTCATATGCTGCCAATATACTTAGACCTGCCCTTCAGATTCAAACCAAACCCGGGACACCATCATCTTGTCCTCATGCCTGTATCTGGCTTCTTCTCAGCCAAGTTCATGGACAAGTTCCTATGTTCTGTGTCAAAACCACAGTAAAGACTCGAGATCTTCTTTTAACCCCAAAATTCCCTATGTAATGGGGGAGAAGGAAAGAATGTGAAGATAGAGAATAAAGAAAACCCAAAAAATTCATTCTGTTTTTGAATAAAAAGGGAATTAGTTAAGAATAGTTTTCTAAATCTACCCTTAAGAGTGTTTTGAAAATCAAATAGCATCTTTCAAGAAGAAAGGTTCCTGTACTTCACTCTTTTTTGAGTCTTAAAATGGAGAGCTCCACTTAGACAATTCAGACGTTCAATGCAAGGACTGTTAAATATTTAAAGTGGGAAGTCTAGGAAACCACTCTGTCTGAAAGTAAATGGTTTATGTCTTTTGGGCATTTCCCTTGGGCATTTTAGACAAAGATGAAAAAATACCTTGAACCAACAGCCTGTGATTTCATCTCTCTTAAATTTCATCCTACGTTAGTTGGCAGATGACACCAGAGAAGGAATTTTCAATGCATTTCACATACTTGTCTTAATTAAGATCTGAGAAATCCATATTCTAAGGAGTTCACACCTACATGAGAATCTATTTTTAAAAACCCATTAGGAGTGTCTGTCAGTGACAGTACTGGAGCCAGGTTCTGGTTTGCTAGCTGGGAAAGGGGAGACCCAGCACCCACCTTTGTACTGATGGAGGTCAGTGAGGTTCTCCTGGTACGTGAGGATAATGGTCTGGTACTGAGTGACAATCTGGCGCCGGAGGCTCTCCCAGCAAGGGGACAGATCCCCCAACTCCTCCAGTTCACACACTCTGCAAGACACACATACATCAGGCCATGCAGCCGCTCACTTCTCTGCATGGTGCACAGGAGTCCTAACCAAGCAGGAGAACAAAATGGACATGGACGTATCGCCGATGCCAGGGAAGGCCTCGCACAATGGCTACACCACAGGTCTACAGAGCAAGCAGTGGGGCAGCATGACAGAGCGCTCTAAGAGGAATGGCCGTGTGAAGGGCAGGCCACTCACCATGTGGAAAAACACCCAGAGAAGCTTTTCACAGAAACTCTGTCAAATGTCCGGGGAAAACCAAGTGGAGGAGAGGGGCTTTAGGGGAGCGGTTCCTTGCTGGTACCCACATAGGCCATGCGGGTGAAGGCCTGGATTGCAGCCCATGTGAGTCTGGGCAGCACAGAAGGACGTGGGACCGTCCTGGAAGACGAGAGGAGTGGAGGCCTGTAAGCGACTGCATGAGGCCATCTCACTCACCTGTCTCCCCCAGGAGCTGCTGAGACAGCTTCTCACTGCCCCCACGTTCTGGGGAGGCCTGGGCCTTCCTGCCCCGCCCCTAAGAACATTGCAGCGAAACATAAAGCTGCCGAGCAGCAGTGTACAGCTGGACGGCACCAGGTGGCCATGCTCTGCCGCACTTACCCAGCCCCCACTATTTCAGTGCCGTCCCTCAGGGTAAGGGGCCAGGGCCACGGGGAGCTAGCAACTTTGGCTGTGCCTCCTTTGGCTGTCTATGGGAGTAATGAGTTGTTTAAATCTAAAAGTTACATGAGGGCAGGAAAGGGAGAAGAGGAGAAGAAAAAAGAGGATCTGTCACCTCCAGAAAAATTAAAAGCTGTATAAAAACTGAAATATAAATGTCTTAGCTCAGCAGTAAAATAACAGCTACATAATCAGAATAATGAAAACACAAGATGGATTTTAAAAAAAGAAAAAAGGATAACCATATTAGGAAGCTGGGTAATGGGAAACTACAAAAGACCTAAAATCTTTATCACAGGGAATGAGTAGCTAATCCCTGAAACTGGTTAGTTAAGAGAATACTACATTTAGAAACATAGTGGTAAACAATGGCTAAAAGTGGATGTTTCTGGGAAGTAGATCAGAGAGGAGAAGGCCTCAAGACTTATGTTGTTGGCACTATTATGCTCTTTTGGCACTATTTGTTTTTTCATACTATGCATGTTTTCCTTTGGGGGGGATTAAAAAAAGCTAATTCTGTGTAATCTACTAAATTCTCTGAAGGTAAATAGAGAGTTGTACCATTTTATTATTATTAAATTAGCAACATCAAAGTAAAAGAACACCAAAGTGGGCAAGGCTGTGGTGAGGCCTCCGTCCCTGCTCACTGCTGGCCAGCTCGCCCACCAGCTGTGGGTCTGCTCACGAGCACATGAACCCCGTCTGCCGCAGCTGCTGCTGGGCTCTCTCTGGTGTCTCTACCCATGCGTCACGTGGCTCCTTCTTAGGCTCCGGGTGTCAGCTTAATGTCACGGCTCACAGAGGCTTGCCCAGACCACCCTCCTTCTCACCACCCCTTCTGATTTCTGTACGCAGCTCGTGCAGCCGGGGCTCTGTGCACGGCCCCTGCTTCTCCGGAGGGTCTGTCTCTCACGGTCTGTCTCGCTCCTCAAGAAGCCTCCCATACCAGGCACACCACCAGCCACGTGTGTAAAACGCAACAACGCCCTCAAAACCAAAATGCCTTTGAAATGAATAAATGCTTTCAAGTTATAGTCTGAGGGGCGCCTGGGTGGCTCAGTTGGTTAAGCATCCAACTTTCAGCTCAGGTCATAATCTCATGGTTCGTGAGTTCAAGCCACACATGGGGCTGTCTGCTGTCAATGCAGGGCCCACTTTGGAGCCCCTGTTCACTAGCTCCCCCACCAAAAAAATAAACAAACATTAAAAAACAATATATATATATGTATATATATGTGTGTGTGTGTGTGTGTGTGTATATCTTATATACATCTTGTGTGTGTGTGTATACACACACACACACAAGATACAGTCTGAATAATGGGAATTTGTGCCATAGTTAAAAATTATAGCACAAAAACCGAAGATCTATGCAAAAGCAGATGGGAGCTAGGAAAAACTGAACAAATATGGAAAAGGTGAAAGGAAAAATGTTAAAATTAAAATAACTGTAAAATAGTACATGTAGAGAGATAAAGCAGCTTATTGCATTATTCTTGTCATTTTCCTCTGAGGTTGATTTCTTTTTCAAGATAAAAAAATTTTTAAAAATAGCTGTATTAAAACAGTGAGATTCTGACTGCATTGTTTCCTTTCATGCTCTGTCATATTGTGTTCACAATTAACATCATTTTATGATGAGCAGAAATGACATCTGAGGAAGACAGGAGACACAATCTGTGGTGCTGAATCACCTCTCTGGCTTCTCCCTGTCTTGGGACCATTGGAATATGCCCTGGGCTGAGATATACGGAGGAGCAGAGGGCCCCAGTGGGCTGTACTTAGGCTTCTGTAGCCTGTATCATTGTGGCCCTACCCTAGGAAACCGCTGACCCAGGCAGCCAGGACCAGAGAACTATCAGCCAGTCCTAACTCTCTGCAGGCCAACTGAGGGGAAAGGAGAAGGGAAGGGAAGGGGGCAGGTACTGAGTGCTGGGCACACATCTGGTGCTTCTGGCACCTTGGCTTGCACAGGAACTCCAAGATACAGGTGAGCAAACGCAGGCTCTGGCAAGCCCAGGCCACAGAGCAGGCAAGTGGTGGAGGCTGGGTCTGCAGTCTGGTCTCTCTGCTGCCAGTGCTCTACCCACCACATCTAACTTTCCAGAAAGGAAGGGGCATACGACATGGGCATGACGGGCGGCTGGTCTCTCCACATGGCCTCACCTGGCCGCATCTTCTTCCAGCAGGAGCTTCACGAACTGCCGGGGCACGTGCAGGGAGAGCACGCTCTCTGCCATCTGCTCCAGGATCCGCAGGTGGTTGCCGTCGGTGGTGGGGAACCGGTACATGCGGCAAATGGCGCCGCCGAACACTGAGGTGAGGTGGCAGGGGAGACCGAGGCTGTGTGTGAGCTGGCTGCAGGCCTGTCGCACGGGCCCTCCTCCCCAGGCCCTCAGCAGGGCTTCTTACTGCTCATCTCAAGGGAACGAAAATATTTAAACCAAAACCCGCCAGGGGACAGCCTGCGTGCTCCTCCCCCGCGACATGCAATCTTCTTGTCCCAGGATGTGTAACTAATTCTAAAGTGCAGGAGCTGGGGTGGGGAGGTTTTCAGTCACAAAACCCAAGGCAAAATGAGAAAGAGTGAAATGAAGGAGGAACCCTCGCCCCCTCCCCGCCTTGCTTGGAGTATTACTAATTCCATATGCTGGTAAAAGGCACGGCCTTTTGAAAACGCGGCACAGGATGCCTGGCCGTGATAACCAGAGCAGGTGGGGAGGAAAGGGTGACCGCGGGCCTAAGAGGACACTCACAAGAGTGGCAAGAGTACCAACGGAGGAAGCTGTTTACCCGATTTCAGTAAAGTGTCTTTTCGCAGCGAAGCATATTTGGATCGGATTCCCAATGCCTCAGTCAAGCTCTCATCAACGGGCAGAACCATCTGAGGATGTGTACAGAAAAGCACAGAGAAGCAGTAAGGCCCAGACAACTCCAGAACACCCAGTAGGAATGTGGCCTAGGTGCATCATATATTACTCTTAAAAAATTAGTCTCCACCATTTACTCTACAATAAACACACTGCCCAAGCCACAAATTAATCCACCTCCCAGTATACTGAACTTAGGCCACACACACACCATTTTCTAGTGACAAGCTCAGTTCACCTGGTATTGCATTGTTGTGATGTATAGAATGAGAGGGAGGAAACAGATGATGCCCAGGAATGTTATCACAGCCTGATGTTCTGGGCTTATTTGGAGTAATTTTATGGCAATGACCACTTACCAGTGTTTGAACTCTTACTTAGAACTGTAGTCTGAGAGCATGAGAGGGTCTGCGTGAGCAATGATGCATGGGAGACAGGGTGACAGAGAGGGAGGGGAGGAGATGGAGAGAAGGTAGGTGAGAGGGTGCAGAGGTGCACAAGGTGGCTGTGGGGCACGTGTGTGCCTGGGAGGGAAGATAGAACAAAACAGCAAAGGTAATCCCGGTGTCATTCCATACCCCCCACGAGTAGCCCCTCTCCCCTCCTGACTGCAGATTCCCCAGCCAGGCTCCCCCAGCAGAGCCTTGCATACCATGCTCCCTGAGAGGACCCCCTTCTATTTTGAGAAGTGCCTGGGGGTACTTGGCACCTCCTGTCTTGGGGGCTCTGTCTTTCCCTTCCCTGAGGCCAGAGGCAAAGTCGACTTGGACAGGTCCTCTTACTCCTTCTAATGGAGAGGGGCAAGGTGGTGTGCTCACCCTCCCATTGACGGTGTCCAGAGACCGAGTCACAGGAGGCCGCTGGTCCGACTTCTCCTCCATCTGCCAGCCAATCACGGTGATGTTACCCACGCGGTCACTCTCTGCAGATCTGCAATGAGCAATGTGCTCTGGTGAGAGGTGCTGTGCCTGCACTTCATTTTCTGTTTAAATGCAAAACTCAGCCATCCTAGGTCATCGAGGGGTGCCAGGATCCGGCCTGCTGGTCAGCCGGCCAGCATTCACTATATACACAGGCTCCGGGGGAGGCAGACAAGGAAACCATGAGAGCACAGAGAAGGGCTGCATCTGAGAGGGGACACAGCACCACAGAGACCTGTGGATGTGCCTGGTAGCTAGTTGGAGGGGAGGTGCCCACCAGCCCCTGAGCTGACCCTGCCCCAGGGAGTGATGAGGACACATCTCAGAACCAGGACTGGAGAGTACTTCCTTCTGGCACTGAACCCCTTCTGCTCCTTCCCACCTATCCTTAAGCTCTGAGTAGACCCAAGACCTCAGATCTAGATCTCAGACCTAGATCTGGACACCAAGTATGCTGAGGTCACCCAAGGTTTCCCAAAGCCTCTGAATCCTGCTATGACATAGTTAATGCCACTCCAGCCCTGGTCAGCTTTGCCCCTAAGACCCCTAAGACCCCTCAGGGTGGCTGCCAGCTGCGTAGGTCCATCTGATTCATCCAGGGAAGCCCCAGGGATACCCAAAGCCTCAGCCTTTTTATTTCAGATGTCTGATTAGCCACGTTCTCAATTTTTCTGTGGTCACATATACCGACAATTTCCTTTGTGACTTTTTCTCATTGTTCTCATGCCTGGAAAAATGTTTCCCCATTCTCTCTGTGCAAGAGTCGTACATAGCTCCTTTTCAAAAGGATGAGGTCCTCCTCTTTCATTTAACTCTAATATAATTAGAATTAGTTCTATCACAGGATGTACCTGAATATTTTTCTCTAGCAGCCCTTTGCCCCACAGTACCCTTTGCATTTTCTCTTAAGACTCGCCCTTTATCCTGAGTCAGGTTCCCTAGGCACACTGAGGACTGCAGCCCAATGCCTGCCACATGGCCGTCACCACAGCTTCAGAATTGTGTGCTATCCAGCAGGTAATTAACCATCGCCAAATTCCTTTTGCAATTTCGGACTATTTTCCAAAATTCTACATTATTTTGAAAAAGAGAACACCATTTTAGGGTTTGGGTGAGAACTGTCCCCAAAATGAATTTAGAAACGGCTGACATCTTGACCTCTTTCATCCTCCTTCCAGAGATACAGTACGGGTTCCCTTCCTGCTTTCCTTCCATAAATATTTATGGAGTGCCAGGACCTGTTCTAGGTGGTTAGGATTCAGCCATGAAGCAAGACAGACAAAAACCCTGCTATCTAGCAGATCATATTCTATTGGGGAGAGAAAAGATAACAGACAAAAATATGTATGTATCTAGACTTCCTTCAGGTCTGCTGGGCACATATTCCCTTTAGGTACAACTGGGCTCATATTTCCTATGGACACCACGCATTGCCATTCCCTGACAGGCCCACTTCAGTGAACAAACCACCTCTTCACTTAGGTCAGCCTTTGGGACAGGGCTGGGCACTCTTTCCATACAGGAAATGGGGCCTTTCCCCACATCCGTGCCTGGACATCATAATTTCAGATTATTTCAAGGGAATAAAATTAAACACCAACCTTAATGTTAAATGCAACCTATGATGCCTGTCTTGGAGAAGATCTTTGACAATGAATGTTCCAGAGCCCAGTAAATACATCTAAGGAAGAGGGGGGAAAGAAGGCATTAGTACGCTTTCTTTGCCTCTGGTCCAAATAACAGGTCTCAGAGGAGTCCAGCTGGCTGGTTCCCATAACACATCTGACCCTCATCTCAGGAGCCCAACAGAGATGCTCAGGAAGAAATTCCTAAAGACAAATATATTTGGACATCAGTTAATTTGTGACCAAAGTAATAATGTTAATCTGTGTTTAGCTCTCACTCAAATGGTTACAGAACTTAAAAAAAAGGGGAAGAAAAATCTCATGAACCACAACGTGTTACTTAACTGTTCCCTGAGATCTATCTTTGACATCATACACGGAGAGTTTGATTTGTGTCATCTGATTGATAAGGGAGTCTTGAAAGAAGGCAATACTGCTTAGAAATATAGGATTGTTGGTTCCCTGGAATAGAAAAGAGAATAATCAGAATACAGAGTTTGATTTTTAAAAGTAAATGGTTTTGAAACACACCCAAATTTTCAGAACGAGACACTAATGTTCTTACCAACTTGGATCAACACAAACACTAATGGCGGCTTAAATGGATGCATACAAACCAACCAAAATGCTGCTTTCCAAAAAGACAAAGTTGTCTGACACACCTCTATAGATCCAGGCACAAGCAGGCTCACCGCCCAAGACATGCCTGAGGGCTCACTCTAAGGGTTTCTCACTCAGTAGAAGGGATTTTCCAAAATTGAAATAAGCTGGATGTACGTGTGTATTCTTAGTATTACAACTTCCGATGAGTTATATACTTGGATCTACCACTGTGGGTTGTTCCTTTAAGATGTACAAAGACAGATGAAAATGAATGGCTTGAGTCGTTTCTTATTTCCAGAATCCTGTAGTTGGCATAATTAAGGCCTGACCTTTTGAAGGCTATGCCTTTCAAAGGACTAGCTCTTGGTTTCCAGATCATAGGTAGTCATTTGCTGGCAGCTTAGCCCTGCCCCCACCCCCCAAGAGCCCCATATCATATTCTCTTTCCCAGGTAGTGGTTAACTATCTTAGCCAAATGGTTAATGGTTCCTGTTTGTACCTGCTGTGGGTCCCATGCCTCTAGCTGCTCTCCCTCTGCAACTTCAGACCTAGTCTCTAAAAGTCTGCCGGACAACCCCTCCTGGGTGGCCTGCTGGGGCCACAGCCCACCCAATCTCACCCTCCATCTGCCCTTGGTTAAGCCCATCTCTGCCTCTCTTCCCAAGGAGGCCACAAATGTCTGCTTTGGTGCCTCTTTCTCCGTCATTCTCAACCACCCAGAGACAATGAACTGCTCCCACAAACCCACCTCCAGGGCCTATCACAAGCACCCCTTCTTTCCACTCCTTCCCACTGACAGTAAGGCCCTACATACTTCCCCAAATGACTATCAACTAAGGACCTCCCTGAAGCACATCTAGTCAGGTGACTCCCCTCGGAAAAGCCTGCACTGGCCCGCTACAAATGCCTGGCCTGACGTTCAAGGCTTCTCTCCCTTGCACTTCCACTTGGGCCTTTTGCATACACAGAACAGGATAAAATTATTTCCCAAACCACATGATGCTTTCCTATTACTTGCCTTTGCGTAACAACCACAGAACTCTGGCGTGATCTTCAACACATGATCCCCAGACTGGCAGTATGGGTATCACCTGGAAGCTTGCGAGAAGTGCAGACTCTTGGGCCCCACGCAGATCTCTTAAGTCAGAATTTCACTCAGTGCCACCCAAGGAAGCCTCTCTAATCCTCACAGCTGGATGGGCCCCCACACCCCACGTGTTGACCTCATCTCTCTACTCTACCCCTTCCCACATAACAGTGCAGAGATGGACCATGTTCACTCTGCCTCCCTGCCCAAAGGATGGTACGCTCCTTTAGGACAGGGACTAGGCCTCCGAGGTATTTGTATGATCCACAGCACCTAGCACTGTGCTCCGCATATAGGCAGTGCTCAGCAGATGCCTAGAAAACAAAATTGTTCATTTGAACTTGGAAATAAGTTTCCAAGAGAATGAAAAAGGGTGGTCTATCTGACGTAAAATGGGAGAAGAGGAGGAAATGTAGTTTGAGACTGCTAGGGAGGGGTTAATTCACATAGCTGCTCACATCACAAACAAAATCCTGTACAATCTCATATAACTCCTACCCTTAGTTCTCATAACTTACATAAGGTACAAAATTATCTAAAAGAAGTTTGTAAAATTCCCACGGTGAAAGCATATCATTTACTTTAACGTAAAAAGTAAATACAAAACACACAGTGCAAAAGGACATACCAAAAAAGCCAATAAAAATGGGGGTATGTCCAGTAAGAAGGCTAGTTAATAGTTAACACTCTCCAAACTTTGATTAATGAACACAATTCTTCAAAAGTAGCAGCCAAATGAAAATGACAAGGAAGAATGAGCTCTTACCTCTTAAACGGCAATAACCTTATGGGATCGTTGTTCAAGAACAACCAGCCAATAGCAAATCAATAATTATAAATAACTTGGCAAATATAAATGCCAGTCAGATGAATGTGAAGAAAAATGTCAATGTACTGAAAACCCATGGGGAAGCAGCAACAATTCACATAAACATAATTGCAGCTACAGGTGTTCAGGTCACTCACAGCCCTCCCATGGGGGCTACAAACACCATGCAAGTCCATCGCAGAGCTCCAGGGGACAGGGCTAGTAGCACCCACCTCAATGATCTCCGTCTGTGCATGTTTTGTCCAGAATGCCTGAGGAGGGGTGGTTACACTCACTGCTACAAAACTATTTGGTTTTCGATCTAGCGATGGAGTATGCAACTCACTGCAAGCTATAGAATCAAGATCAGAAAGAAAAGAATCCATTAAAATCAGGCTCCAATTAGTTCTCTGTTCCAAACACACCCAAAGAAACCCCCACCCCCCAAAAAAGTAAATGACACTAAAGTGATGAGACACTTACATTGTCAGTTATCACATGAAGGTGATCTTTTAAACTAGAAGCAATCTCTTTGCATGTGCCCACCCCCCCACCCCCAATCTCTCAGCCCTATGACAGCAAGGCTGTAACTGTCAGTAGAAAGCTGGGCTGAAGGGGGCTTTCTGTGTCCATGGACTAGAACACAAAGCCAACAACCTCACATGGGGTCTGACCCATAACATGTGACCTTAATAACTAACTGAACTGTTAACTAATTGAGCTAAGCAGCCACATAGTCTGTAAAATCAAGACACAGCTACACATGCCTGCATCCTATGACTGGTGGCTAGCCCTGAGCTGTGGTGTCCTACAGGTCTCTGTGTGAATGTATGCTGGAAGTAAATCCAAAATTCTGTGGCAGCATAAACAAAGTTTTGTTATGTTTTGTTTTTATTAAAGAAGTTATTGCTCATTTTATTCTCCTTATAAACCTCATATCAAGTGCAATATTATTATAAATGTTACTTTTTGGAACTAACGGTACCAAATTTATTGTACTAAGCATTTTTAATAGATAAGACTCAGATAATTCTATCACAGAAGGAACCCATAAGAATGATGATCACATTTCACTGAAATGAACATGCTATCTGTTGTGAAATGCACTCTGAAAGAAAAAAGACCCACTGCCATTAGACTATGCTATGCTATTGATTGTAAGATATTTTCTGATTAAAGAGTAAAACATGAAAAAATATACATCATAGAACTGATGAAATATGTGGCCAATCAAACTTCAAAACTGGTCCAAACAACCACCTTTTTTTGAGGAGTAATAAATGCTTTCCAGACCACTTCAAGTCTTTGGTCAATTTCCAGAGATCTAAAGCAATGGACTGTGGCCATTTTTGCCAGTGTTCTCGTTGCCTTTATGGAGGAGAGGATCTTTGGAGGTCCTTACACTATGCCATTCCTGCCCTCATCATTCCCATTTTCTAAAATGTTCACTGGCGATTTACAATTTAGAAATTGATTTTTGCTTCTGAAAAATAATTCCGGTTCACTAATTATCTACTTGTATCATCTTCTCATATGACTTTATGAATTTTCATCATTTATTGAATATAATAAAATATAAAAAGCTTAGGTTTTTAGTTCAGTTAGTTTTGACAATCATATGCACCCATGCCACCATCACCACAACAAGATAGAGAACATTCCTACCAATTCTTCCCCTACCTCTGCAACCAATTTCTGATTTCCATCATTTTTGTCTGTCCTTGAATTTCATATAAATGGGATGTATTCGAGATTCATCTATATTGTTGTACGTAATCACTCTTATTTTATTTTATTCTATTTTGTTTTTTATTTTTTTATTATTTTTTATATTAAACAGAATGTATTGTCAAATTGGTTTCCATACAACACCCAGTGCTCATCCCAACAGGTGCCATCCTCAATGCCCATCACCCACCTTCCCCTCTCCCCCACCCCCCATCAACCCTCAGTTTGTTCTTAGCATCCAAGAGTCTCTTATGGTTTGCCTCCCTCCCTCTGTGTAACTTTTTTCCCCCTTCCTCTCCCCCATGGTCTTCTGTTAAGTTTCTCAGGATCCACATAACAGTGAAAACATATGGTATCTGTCTTTCTCTGCCTGACTTATTTCACTTAGCATAGTACCCTCCAGTTCCATCCACGTTGCTACAAAT